CAGGCGTTATTTAATTACGGATTATTATGCATGTCGTTAGGTAAAATGATAAATTTTACACAATTGAGTTGGGTGTCTATCACGGACTATATTTTATGTGAAACCTTATGAGGGAGGCGTAGGTTGGTTTCGAGTAGGTAAGAAGGTTTTATGTATTCTAGTTTTTCTGGTACTAGTAATAAATATACCAACTTTTATGCTACTGCGAAAGGAGGCGTACAGGGTTGATTACAAAGTCCATAAATTCTGAGTCGTAATAAGTTATCTCCTTTTCTTCCGCCCACTACATGAACTATTTGCGTATACTTCAAGATCCTATACCACAAATCCTTTCTGAAAACCTCAGGATGCGTGTTTGGGACTTACGGATTGGGAAAATTTGGCCATTTGATTATCATATATTTTTAATACAGTAAGTTGTTTGTCGTTAATGTATGTATAATAGTTGCACTTTTGATTTTATATTGCCTTGACATTTTTGTCTTTTGGGTAAGAGTGGGTTTTATGTGCCCGGGTTGATTTGTTGTTTGAAGAAGTCAATGATCCGTGGTGTTCGAATGTTGGTGTCGTTTGTATGCTTGTACGTTTATTTTTGTATTTTACTTGTCCTTAGTGGGCCGGGTTTATACGCTTGCTTTCGGTAAATACGTGATAAGTAAAGTACCTAGTTATTCATAGAACTTTAAAGTTCAAGTACATACTTTTTAAAAGTGCACTTTCAAAAAATAAAAAGTGCACTTTTGCGCTCTGTATGTCTGAGTCACAAAGGCACCACTTAGAGACTTGGTATTGGTGTCACTCGATCAGAAATTAAACTTATTTCATTGCAGGAAATGTCCATGAGGGCTATTAAAATCTAAAAAACAAATTTGAATGTGCACCTTCGCCCCTTGCTCACAAACGGCTTAACAAATTTTTAATGTTTATAATCAAGCTAGCCCGTAATAAGCCACGTCTGAATGTAATATATCATTTATTTCCTAAAAGACATATTTCTACTTTATGATAATGTTTACCTAACTTTACAGATTGACAGCGATTTATGATTTTTAGCTTCTTAGCTAAATTAATAATAGGTAGCTATTGCGATCACCGTTTTTTGGACATTTCATCAAATGTCGACGTTTTACATCATTTTAAGGAACTTTCAAAGAATAAAATTTTTTTCGTCTGTATATGTACGTACGTATGTTGGTAATTTTCTGAGGTAACGGCTCACGAATTCAGTTCAAATTTGGGATGTGTAGATTAAGCATACGGAAATGAAAAATAACGGGCCAGTTTTTTGAAAAAAAATTTCGGAGCGCCGCAACGGCATCGATCTTTTTTTTTCAAAAAAAGTTTTTATTGAGGTATTCGAAAGACCTCATTTTTCTGTGTGCAACGTACAAACATTGTGACAAGTTGAGAAAAAATGGAAAAGTTAAAAAACTAAAAATGTTTTTCGACAAAACTAAATTAATTCTAATTAGGAATTACAATTTTAATTATACGAAATTTCTTCGGCTACTTCCAATGGTGTATACGTGATATCGATCGATCTTTCTTGTTACTGTTTGGCTTTGTATCATTTTATGTAACTTAATTTGAATGTCAATAGGTTGTTAGGATTCAAAAAATCTGATGGTAACGATTTATTTCAACGCTATTGTGATCATCATTTTAAACAAACTTTTAAGTACAACATTTTTTCCCTCTGTATACAGTACGTGTGTACGTTTGCAATTTTCCAAGATAACGGCTCGACGGATTTTGTTCAAACTTTGGATATATATATATATATATATTAGGCATACGGACACGAAAAATAAGGTACTGGATTTTTGAAAAAATATTTTTGGAGCGTCACAACGGCGTAAGTTAAAAACTATCTAGCAGCTTATTGCGCGGTTAATATTTAGGATGAGCGATTACTTGAGAAGTTCGGTCGTTACTTTCTTTTTGGTTTTAATGCAAAGAACTTAAGGTGAAATATCAATACCTATGTTAAAATACCACTGTATATGTATACTGCAGTTTTTATCATGATTAATTAATATCACAGATTTAAACACTAAAATCTATGATAATATTAAGACTGTACATAAAAGTAGAATCTGACCCATTTAACATGTCCCGACAAAAAAGAAGGCCATTGACAACTTAATGAGAGTGTCGGCACTCTCTACCTACGGGATAAGTTGCGTAAAATCATTGAATAAATGGTAAAATGTAATTCTTTACGTTTCGATTGAATAAGGAGCTTTGTGTTTACTGACTTCAGAAAATAAATGGATTATTAGTCATAGGTATTAGTAATAAACACAAACAAAAGTAAATAAAACGTGCGAAGACTTTAAACGGTGAAGAGCGCTTTTAGATTTGACCTGGCACATTTTTGTATGTTAAAAACTGTATATTTCTGGTGCAGCAATAAGAACTGTAAACTACTAACAAAAAATGATACGTTAAAAATACATCTGTCCATATTCCACAGGAATTTGTAAAATTAAGAAGAAGAGTTTGCAAAAACTTTCAAAAAATAAGTTACACGCATCGATGGGAGACAAGTGCTTTTTTGAAACGTCTATTTACTACTTTACTTCTAAAAGTAATGAGTTATGTGCACAAAAAATTTGTTGTTATACTATAGTGCATACTTTTGAGTTCGAAAAAGGTTGTGTCCCCGGAAAGAGGTGAAAGTGAAGGTTTGTTTATATATTGTATTGTACTTGTGTAGAGTCCCTAAATGAGTTATTTTCTACATAGATCAACATTACGTGCTGTAATAAACTGCCGGGTAAAATAAGAAAATTTAGATCATTAGAAGTTGCTATTTAAAAATTCTTTGTAGTATCAAGAGTGGAAAGTTTCATTTGTTTGCCATAATCCTTGGGGGATGTTGTGGACTGTGGTAGGTATACCATAATGTTTAACACCGGCAGTGCTTCAATGAAAGCATACTATTGTATCATAAAACGACACATCCACTATCTAGATTGTTCCTCCACACAAATCAAATTATTACATTATCTATTTCCTTACATTTCTATATCCATTCCTGTTTATTGTTTCTTTTGCGGGAGATTAATTGTAATTATAAGACTGACTATTATCCGGAAAAGATATTTAAGATATACCTTGGCATCATTAATTATGCCTATATTTAGCGTCACCCGTATAAAGCCATGACCTTACAATACAATAACGTTGCCATTATGTGAATCGTCCAATATTTAATGGTAAACATAACAAAACATTTTCCTTTGCGGAGCCATCCACTACCTAACCCTTGGGTACTACTACGTCCGTATATCACATTGCCTCATATGATATTAGGTCTCTAGTTTCAATAATCTGATCAGATCAACCTAACATTTGCCATCTTAATTACAGAAATATCCTTTCATGACATTTATTAAACGTGATAATTAGGCATTAGTCTTTACCTGATCAAGAAGTATTAGATCAAAACGGATATCACGACGTAACCATACATGACTCTATCTGAAGATGATAGCCCAACTCAAGCGAAACGTAATATTCTTGATGTTGATTATTTTATGTCAAGTCTTTCACTCCGTATCTAGAAGTAATTGATTTACCAATTCTCTTAAAACGCTGGTTATTTTATAAAACTTGCAACCGGAGGGTTACCTTGTATTCGTTTCGTAACTTACAGCTTTTAGCTAAATCTGCGTAATGAAAAATTCAACAACCAATTTACATGTATCTTCCACCATGCCTTTATAAGTTTAGTGCAAGAAAAAAATTCATCAATGTCATCAAAATGCCTTCAGAATTTTGATAACAAATTACTATGCATAAAGAGTGAATATTTACCTATAATTGATATTATTATTATGCCGTGCTCAGAAATGAAAGGAGAATGGGATTTGCGTAAAAAGCATTACTTAGCCACGGTTGTTCTAAATAGTGAGTGTAGATATCTAAACAGCATACCGCAATTGTGGTCAATACTTAGATATATAAAAACGATCAAATGAATTGAACGTGCATCAGACTTTATTATTTTTTAAATTTCCTTTCAATTTTCCATAATTATTGCGACTATTATGTGTCCTTGGCAGCTTTCAAAGGACAATCCAAAAAAATCCCGTTGATGTAATTTGGCAAAGAGACAATTACCTGTCTTTTCAAAATGTTTGATATATATTCAGCGTGCGCTACATAAGTTAATTGATAGGAAATCATTTATACATATACGTTACTTAATCAAAACTGTTGCAAGAGAAATTATCACTAGGGAAAAAGGCAACAACTAATTCACGTATTACGTCATAGCGGTTTAAATGAATTTAAATGTGATTGGTTTACTTTAAAAACAGTGTAACCTAAGTATTGTCTAGCTAGTGTAACGCCGTCAATAGAAATTTCACACCAATCAACTATTTAATAGTAATTTGTTATACATGCAAAATTTATAAGTTACAAACTCAAACAAATGAGTTAGGTACCATCTGACTATATAATGGAAAGTTGTATTAACAAATAAACGATTTTCACTAGAATAACACAATTTGAAAGCATATAAAATTACGTTCACTTGTTATTATGTACTTTAAAAAACGTAAGTGGGCAATCCCGGAAAATGGTACAATCGCTTTTAATTGTCACAATTGGGACAAATTTACACAATCCATTCTTTTACAACAAATCCTAACTATAAGTTGTAGTAGGAATTTTTCTTTTTGAATCCGAGGCTCTTTAAAGCACTGTGTTAAAACGTCACGGAAGCTTTGTTAGACAATACTAAACAAAATTAAATGAACGCAACAAACCTTGCATAATTACATAGGCATAGGGTAAACTAAGTGCAGTTTAAATTTTCGCATTAACCTTTACTTAATTGACGATTCGAAAAAAATATCCAAAATGGCAATAAGCTTATTATGATAATTGTGATCCATACGTTTAAACCCCACCCATGATATTTATGTAATTCTGCACGTGTTACGTAGTTAACATTACTATTGACAACATTCTTGCTTGTTGCCAATTGCCGGTTTACTAATTAAAACACATCGCAGCCTGGGCGTTCAAAATTGGAAGCTCGTACCTAATCGATACTTCCGTACCGAATTTCATAATCTCTATTCGGAAGACAACCACAAATGGAATTACCTACTGGAGTTACGTAAGTTCAATCACGATTCTTTTTTATTTTTGGAATCATTTCGCAGTGGATCGGTAGAAACGCCAATATGGTCAAGTAGGTCACCGTATTAAACAATCATAGAGAATTCTTGCCAGGTTGCAAGCATGTGCGCTAAGAAAATTATAAGCCAACCTCTTCAGAAGTGAAAGTGACAAGTGAAAGCGCTACATATTTGTCATTACCGTAATTTGGCAAACAAAACCATAAACACATAGCCAGAATAATTAAAAGTGCGGCTAATCGATTTATTGGGTGTTAAATAATTGCACTGTTGAACTTTGAAGCGGTTGCGGGTTGCGTCAAGAACCTAGAAGGGTAGAGCAAACTAGAACTAGGACAGGGGCATACATCAGGATATGATCTGAAACAATCCGCACGATACAATATTATAACGAAATTGCATAATTCGAGGCTAATGTTGTTAATCATTACGAAAAATAATTAAATTCCTTTCGTTACATTTTCGCCTCCACATTATTATTCTATATAGTTTATAGTTCAAGGACGATCGCAATTATCGCTCACCTCCATCACGCCTTCCTCTTCAACATATCACTTGAGAAAGTCCTAATTGGTACCAAATCAAAATAACGGATATGTCTCAAGGTCGAACAACTACAATCAACTCTTAGTTACAGATTTTTTAAATTTAATTATACCGCGGACACACCTACGATTTAAATCAGTGTTGATCTTTATAATGGCCTTCATAAAAAAACAAGGTTCAGGCTCCTTCGCCCTTTGCAAAATCCTGAAAGAGGCGTAACCTATTATGGCCAACGTTTTTTTTACAAATTCATCAATTATTAGCATAAGCATCGAAATGTTGAAACGTACTTATTGATAATTGCAAAAATTTAAATGAAACACAAATTTTTATGGAAAAGGAAATCCGTTTCCATTTTATCTCCACAAACAATTGCTTTAATCAAGCGGGTTTACAATGGAATCTTAACGCCCATCTTCTTTAAACGTGTATAAACGGATACCATCAATGGGTGTTGCAACCAGAAGCATTATTAAATATGTACTCTGTAAGTATACTTTGCGTTGATCATTATACTGAGAAGGTTAACATTTGCCTAAAGTCTACTGTACTTATCAGATCCATACGTGGCAAAAATGGGACCCCTTTTACTTTTTCAATTTTCAATTACGTCCTTGGTAATCCTAGTTTTTTTAAATCGTTAACGAACTAGCTTGAATTCTTGAATATTTGTCTAAGCAAAAAAACTAACCGGACGAGAATTTGGAAAATTTTGTAGAACCTTTTTCCAGTGTTTGCCACACCTATTGCTTTGTATGAAATTATTTTTCTGGTTTTTATTTGTTTGTGCTGGCAAAAGTGCACGTGTAGTTAATTTGCATCATTTTTAATGAGGTACTAACACTCTAAATTTTGCATTTCCGATTAGCGTCGTTTTCGAAACCTTCCCGTAATGAATTCACATGCGTTATATACTTATCTATCGATTAGGAAAGATGCAAATCTAAGAAAAACGCCGTCCTTCATCATTTCGTAATCCGGATAATTAAATAAATTGTTATTTGTAACTTCTTGCGGTACTAAATTTATACAAGGTTATATAGCAAAATTGTAAACAAAACATATGAGCACGCCTAAGAAAATTAACGAAACTACCTATTAAACGATCGTGGGTATGAATGCGACTATTACATGCAAAGTGCTGCCAATGATCTTGTGGTAATACGAATCGAATTGTCACCATACTCCAGTTTTTCCATTTTTTCTTTTCTATCTTCTTCTTGCCTACAATAAAAAACCACGAAAAGTACCAATTCCTACTTAGTCATCATTGGAGACACCTAAATTCCATATTTGCTGAAACCCATGCCTGAACGAAAAATTATCGACAAACAAGCGATAAGTCACCTATTGTTTCTCTTTTAGAAATAAATGATCCATTTTCTTTGTGGAAACACTTTCATTTCAACTTAAAATGGTGTTTTAAGTACAATTTAAAGCATCCCTCATGACCAGGGGTTGTTTTTTTCTTTTAATGTACATTTGCAAAGCAACATTTTAGATCAGGGTGTCTGAAACGAGTACGGTACAAGAAATTGGAACGCTCTTACTAAACCGGTTAAATATATTTCTAGTAATGTAAGAGTGAAACTTGAGTTTTCGAATTACTTGTCTGTGTTAGAAAATTTTAATTAGTTTATTTCGTACGGAATTTGTTTATACGCATGAAAAATTACTAAAAAGTACTAACAAAACTCTGCGAGTGGAAGTTTTGTGCCGTTTGCCATTTTAATTTAATTACAATACTGACAAAACAACAAATTTCGACTTTCCGTTTTCGCACATTATATGTCACGTGTTAAGCGATTAAGATAAGTGTTCTATTTACGATCGGGTAGGATTAACAGACAAAAAGCCAGCTTTTGTCATTTAACCAGTTAACAGTTTAACAGTTAACGATGCTACCAGGCCATAAGCAAATCGTGTCACAAATTCTTTCACAAAATCACGGAATTGCCCATTTGGTAAACACATTCACCCCGTGTCATTCGTTGTGGTTAAGAAAGTTCAACCACTATGATTCACTTCCAGCAGACCCCACAGGAAAACCCTATTGCTTGAAGCAATTTTGGTGTAATTTGCATAATTTTCAAGATCATTTACATGATGAAGTCGCCCTATTTCTGAGCCCAGAATTAAGTTCCTTTACAGTGAATAACTTAAATAAGAAACACTCGGGAGGAAATTTATGATTTCTCTGAGTTACATCAGTTACAACATTTTGAAGGACTACCATGGTACACAAAAAACCCACAATTCACATTTTCCAGAAGGCCTTTCGGGTGTATATGGCAGGAAAACTTTTGGCATGATCAATTCTAGGGAAAATGGAAGATTGGTTAACCACGTTATTTTTGAGATGTCTAAACGCTTACACAGTGCTCATAAAAACACGAGTAAAAACAGTTAGATATAGCAACTTACAGTTACAACGTATTGATTACTCATATATCTCAATAAACCTTCAAGACCTCCGAGCAATTATGTAATATCATTGAATAAAAACACTATAGTGTTTTTATTCAATGGTAATATGTACTATCAAATACTGTAGTAAGAAAGTGAGTAGGTGAGTAAGGCAGACCATTTCTTTTACAAGAGAAAAAGTGAAATTTTAAATGAATAAAAAATAATCAATTATTAAAGTTCAAACCACTACGAAAGTGCAAATGCTATTTACCAATACTCAAATCATCTTAAAACACATAAAAATTGAGGTCAATTTATGCCCATCAAAATCTAATGTCGAAGACAAGTTCATATATTTTAGGAAGAATTCGATAGGTCTAACTATGTGCATATTGATTATTATGTAATATCGAAATTTAATAACTTTCGAAATCGGTAGCATTCTTCATTGGTGTTATTAGTGCGGTTTTGCATAATTTAAATTTGAGACAGATAATGAAATGTCAGGGACCATATTCACAAAAATCAAACAAGAACCACGGTCATCCGGTTCCAGGTTATTAATTACAATTGTAAATCTGGTAATAATTGGGGTGCGCCTATAAATTTTCGCTCTCATTCATTAACTCATCATCATACACAAACATGGCATTAACTACTATAATTATACACATTAATTAAATTAAACTTATGTATACAGTGTATGTATGCAAGACATACTTTACACATACACCGTATTTAAAAGACGATTTCCTAAGATTTCAAAGAAGACTTACCAAAAGAGGTCAGCATCAATAACACGAATACCGCAAAAAGTGCCATTTTAAAATTTAATTGTAATCCTCAATAAAAAAACACACGCAGGAGCTAAAACCACATTTCATTTATTATATTTTATAGAGCGACAATCTCCTCGAGCGTAATAACGAGAAATACGCGGCGGCAAATGTAGGGGAAACTCTTACTCACGCTGACTGAATGGCAACGTAACAAAGACGGTTTCTTAAGTGAAATGTATCAGTGGGGGCTTTAGAGAAAACTAAACCCCACTTTGTGGTATTTTCCCTTGCCTTACCAATACATTCACTACGAAAAAACCTTGAGTTTGAACACCTTAGGGTCTAAGGTTTCGAACGAGCCTGCGGACCTTGTAGCCAACATTCTCTTTTAAAACCATTTTAAAAATGTTTTCTTAAAAATTCATATCCTGAATTGCTCTTAGTAATGAGTGGGTTTGTACCTTTTAACCCTGAAAGCAATTTTGTGTACAGTGGAAATGCGTGCGGGGGTTGCACATGCAACCACAACAGTGCAGATTCACAATCAGCAGTGTTACGCAACAATGAATAAAGAAAGTATTTTGTAATTTAATGTTGTATTGATATGTAAGTAGGAAAACCAAATTTGTATATCAGAACGAAGCTGGCAGTTCTTGCGCCAATACGGTTACGAAAGTCCTTTTGTGTTGAACAAGTATAGGTAAGCTAGGCTTTCGTTATATTAGCTTACAATTCCATTGACATAATGTGAATCGCAATTACAGAATTACGTCTACTGAATGAAAATGAAACAAATTGGAAGCTTTTCATTCAATGTCGGGTATGAGCGGAAGCGCGATTACTTTTGTCTGCACGCTCTCTCTTCATTCTACTGCTATATTTGACAAATACTCTAGGTCAAAATTACATATCCTTTCTAAAAGTATATCACAGATATCAAAGGAGGAGAAATGATGTATGTAATTGGCGGCTTTGCTATGTTATTGCCACCCACTCGAAATCAATACGATACCTATTACATCAGCGATTCAAATTCTGTGATTAAAATGAAAGTTATACTTCCGTTTTAAAGTATCGGATTAGAAGGCGAAATGATTTTAATTAACTTTTCGCGACGTGGTTAAGGACCATCATCCTTTACATTATGGTGATTTGTAGCATTCTTATTTCGTTATACGATGGATGATCTTTCTCCATGACTAAGTAATTCCTTACGAACTTGTTGGGAAATAACTGTATCGACAATAGAGCTTAGAGCAAGAACTTACTAATGGACCTGTATTTTCGAAAATAGAAAACAAAAAGGTAGTTCACTGTCACGTTACATAATTAATTCCAAACCATCCGATATTGTGAGTAACCGACATAACAAAAAATGTCAAGAAAGTTTATGGACCCCAAGGAATGTTCTAAAGTCCAAAATCAGCTATGCAGATCGCATTACAACGGCGCCAAATAAAAAAAACACATTCCATAAAAAGAAAAAGCAAGAATGTGAACAACGACCAAAAACCTGGTCATCGCTCAATCCGTTACAAAAAACGCAAAACGAGTGGTACCAATGAACTACTGCCGCAATACTCATTTGTCATGAACTTGAATAATCCAGGCCCTGGAATAACACTATAGCGTAGGCGGTACACATTTTTTCGCTGCATTTTGTGACAAAAGCATGAAACTCGGTACACGTGTTCATTAGGTCCAAGTTAAACTTTTGGCTCGCAGTACCCACCGAAATTTTCGTGTGGGTTCAAAATTTGAACACTTTTGTTCAAAAGGGTGTTCAAGGGTTTAAAGTTTAAACCTGTAAAAATTGACGAATTTCGCCATTCTAGGGGTCGTTTTTGAATGATTTAATGTCGCTGGTGCCAATGGCGGCATTAAAAAAGTTGCATATCTGACCTTTAGGCCCCAAATTTGGAGTATTTTCAAAATAATGGTTAAATTTTGAATTTGATAGTTTTAATCTTGCGTGATGTTTCGGATGTCGATTCCAGTTAATTTGGACGTGCACTACATGCTAGAAATGTTATATTGACGTTAAAACAGTTTCTGGTGTGTAAATAGGCCGTTAATCGTTCAATAATTTATTCAAAATTTAGAAATTCCATACTTGAAGGATTTTGCCGTTCTTGGTGTCGTAATTTGTGGTTGCTGATGCTGATTTTGTATTCAGAAAACAGATGCGACTCATAGTTAGGCCCTTTTCATATTATTTGACCTATTAAGAGGGAATGTTCGGCGCAGTCATACCCTTGTTGCCCCGGATTGCAACAACTATTGAATGACAAAGAAAGACGAAAGAAACGGGCATTTCATTAAGATTCGGAAATGGACATGTTCTCTGACGGCATATGCCGCCTATGCTTCCATTATTGCCCTCCCGGCATCGTTTGTTGGGAAATCTGTACTTCCAGTCAGTCTTGAGCTCACTCCACTACAAGTAACATCACGCAGTGAGCAAGTTCCGTCCGACTCGTGCCCCTTGAAGGAAGAATGTCGCCAGATGATGGCCCAGAGATGGGCAAGTCGACATATGAAGGATAAAAAAATTATTAATTGTAGGTATAGTGCAGTGCACACAAACTTTCACTCTTGTACTGTCTTACCTTTACAACCACAATAACTGTAATAAGGAATTATCGGTCAAGAAAACCAAGACACTTTGGTTGCTTTGCATTTTGCTACTTTTGTAATCTCTACACGGGGGGCAGCTTCCCTTCCCTGCCCCCTCTGGCGACGCCCTTTCTTTGAAGTGAGGATATCGCAACGATACCGTGAAACGCCATCGATCGCAACGCAGTGCCTAGGTGTTCCCAGAAGTCGCCGAGGCAGTCCCCAAAGTCCATCAGACGGCGGGCGCTACGATTAGGCCGCGAGTCACAGGCGTTTTAGGCCCTGTGCGTCGCTGTAGGAGCTCTAAGCGCATATTAAGAGACCGTTACCACCATGACCTGACCAGCCAGAAGCTGGTTCTGGCCGCCAGTCGTCGAGTGCCTCTTCAGGTTCATCAATCATCAATAGCACTGGTTGAAGACTGAACTTTTAGTAAAAGTTGATCCAATTTAGCCCCTTGGAACTTCGATGCACAGGCCTTGTGCCACTTTGTTTTGTTATGAACGAAAGTAGATTTAATCCTCTTCCCTTCGTTGAGTTGTTGTACCAGATAACCGGCCTCTAGCGTGTATGCATAGGGTAGTAACTGCTCCAAGTTCGTACCAAGAGATATTACGAGATGTTACTTGTCCTGGAGCGAGTTCAAGACTGACTGGAAGTACAGATTTCCCAACAAGCGATGACGGAAGGCCATTAATGGAAGCATAGGCGGCATATCCCGTCAGAGAACATGTCCATTTCCGAATCTTAATGAAATGCCCGTTTCTTTCGTCTTTCTTTGTCATTCAATAGTTGTTGCAATCCGGGGCAACAAGGGTATGACTGCGCCGAACATTCCCTCTTAATAGGTAAAATAGTATGAAAAGGGGCTAACTATGAGTCGCATCTGTTTTCTGAATACAAAATTAGCATCAGCAACCACAAATTATATGGAAACGACACCAAGAACGGCAAAATCCTTCAAGTATATAATTTCCAAATTTTGAACAAATTATTGAACGATTAACGGCCTATTTACACACCAGAAACTGTTTTAACGTCAATATAACATTTCTAGCATGTCGTGCACGTCCAAATTAGCTGCAATCGACATCCGAAACATCACGCAGGGTTAAAACTATCAAATTCAAAATTTAACCATTATTTTGAAAATACTCCAAATTTGGGGCCTAAGGGTCAGATATACAACTTTTTTGATGCCGCCATTGGCATCAGCGACCCTAAATCATTCAAAAACGACCCCTAAAATGCCGAAATTCGTCAATTTTTACAGGTTTAAAATCTTGAACACCCTTTTGAACAAAATTGTTCAAATTTTGAACCCACACGAAAATTTCGGTGGGTGTTGCGGGTCAAAAGTTTTATTTGGACCTAATAAACATGTGTACCGAGTTTCATGCTTTTGTCACAAAGTGCAGCGTTTACCTCGATATTCAGTTGTACCGCCTATACGCTACTACTTGGACGCCGATCTAACTAGTAATTACCTACTAATTGACATCTTGTGTGACTACGCAAACGTCTTCTTGCAAAAGAAATGAACCGCTATTTCTTTATTGGTTAGAAACAAAAAATCAAACAAATTCATAAACCAGAAGCCGCGTAACAAGACATAATTAATTAAAACAATTAATGACTCAGAAGAAACTTTGCAGAAACATTAACCGCGGCAGATAATGATAGAAGACTTGAGGAAAATGGAGAAACACACAAATAAACCCAACACATCTAAAACCAAGAAACGATTGACTGCTGTGTGCATCATGAACCGTTGTCCAACGAGAGCCAACGGCTACGATAAGACGCCTGCTAAGCTTTGGGGAGGACGGAATCGGACGTGTCGAAATTGCGAGTTTTCGGATGCGTCGTTTATGTCCACGTCTCAAAGGAGCACCGCAAGAAACTGTACACGAAGGCGTGGAAGGGGATGTTCTTTGGCTATTGCCCAGCTAGATACAGAGTGTGGAATCTTGCAACGAAGTCAATTGTTCAGGCTCGAGATGTCGATTTCGACTCTGGTGGTCGGCCGGTTGAAGCACATCACGTCCCCGTAGGGCATAAAGACTACGAAGGGGATACTAGATCTGACGGAGTCACTGTCCGAGATGCAGAAGCGAAGTGATTGGGTTTTGTGGCAGCGCCGCAGAACGAGATGGATTCGTTGGAGCGCAACGGAACGGTACCTGGACCTTGCCGGTAGGATGAAACGCTATATCGTGCAAATGGGTGCTCAAAATAAAGCCAGGTGAAGATGGGAAACCAGATCCATTTTTGATCATGCGTTTGTCCGTGTGCATGATAACTTGTTTAGAAACGTGCGATCGCTTTGAAAATTGGTACACATGGTTTTAAGGATATGAGAAAGGTCCCTATTGTTTTTAAGTTACGTAGACTATCGAGTTCGGTATTCAGATGTATCGGATTTTGATTTTGTGAGAATGGAAACTTTCCCTAAACATTTCTAAATTGTTCTCAAATATTTGAATAACTTAAAAGTACTGCCTTTTTTTGAGGCCGGAAAAAAAATTGTCTGAGATCGAGAGTCCATAATTTCAAACAGTTTGAGGATTGGGCTACTATATCAAAAGTTACAGCTCTTTGAATTTTTTTTCGAAATTTGTTTTCTGTCCATAACTTTTTATTGAGAGGTCTAATCGAAAACGTACGAATTGTTTTGGATTCTACGCACCAAAATTAATAAGAAAAAGTGTTTTCCCGAGATATTTTGGTGCATTCGATTTTTGGTAAAAAAGGAAAGTTATACTTACACTGTCTTTTTTTGAGGCACGACAAAAAAATTGTCTCAGATTGACCCGGAAATTTTTTCTTATAGAATGTGGCCTGTAGAATCCATAATTTCAAACAGGTCTAAGATTGGGCTACTAGTTCAAAAGTTACAGCCCTTTGAATTTTCTTTCGAAATTGGTTTCTTTTCTAGTCTATAACTTTTGATTGAGAAGTCTGAACGAAAAAGTACGAATTGTTTTGGATTCTACGCACCAAAATTAATAAGAAAAAGTGTTTTCTCGAGAAATGTTGGTGCAGTCGATTTTTGGTAAAAAAGGAAGGTTGTACACTGCCTTTTTTTGAGACCAGCAAAAAAAATTGTCTCAGATCGACTCGGAAAAAAAATTGACTTAGATTGGGCTACTAGTTCAAAAGTTACAGCCCTTTGAATTTTCTTTCGAAATTGGTTTCTAGTCTACAACTTTTGATTGAGAAGTCTGATCGAAAAAGTACAAATTGATTTGGATTCCACGCACCAGAATTAATAAGAAAAAGTGTTTTCCCGAGAAATTTTGGAGTAGTTGATTTTTGGTAAAAAAGGAAGGTTAAGTATTCAAATACTTACTATGCGAAGTATTCGAATACTAAATATTTGTGAAAGTATTTGTGTTACAAAAACAAATACTGCTTCCATAAAAGTATTTAATTACAAAGTATTTGAATACTTTAAAGGATTTGAATACTAAAAAGTATTTACAAAATCGAATACTGCCCAAGGCAATGGAATGCAATGCGTTCATGAAGAGGATTGGTTTCAGACGAAGCGCCAATGCCCTCTGTTTGTACGTACGAGGTACTGAAGTGATCAGGTGATCCTTGTCATATACGTTGATGACGTGCTAGTGGTCAATCCGTCTGAGAAGCTTGTCCGGATCGTAAAGGCGTGCCTTGCCAAAGAGTTTGAAACGACTGACCTGAGTAAAGTCCGAAATTTTCTAAGAATGAAGATCGAAAATCGTAATTTGTGTTCTTAGCTTGTTTTGTCTATGAACACAGCGCTCTATGCTTTGGTTTTGCTACATTATACTGTACTTTATGAAATAATACTTTATTGTCTGCATGTTTACATACATTGGAACTTTAATCATAATAAATATGAACGACATTAGAAAAAGGAAGAATTATTAACATAATCTTTTACAAATGCACATAAGTACTTTTGCAACATCTAAAAAACTCTCTCTAAAAAATACTGTCTCAATTAAGTGTTAAGTGGAGGCAAGTCATCTTCCTTCTTTTCCTTTTTAGCGCCACTGAGAGCACAATGAGTTTCCCACTCTTTCAATAAATCAACAACGGCAGTGTGTCCAAACATTGTGGCTTCATGCAAAGGCGAATTTCCCCACCTATCTAGGACGTTATGTGGAACATTGCATTGTTTCAGTAAAAATTCTACACAATTGACGTGGCCTTCGGCAGCTGCCAGATGAAGGGCGGTTCGACCATCATAATCGGATAGGGTCATATCCATTCCAGATAATTTATGCCTATAACGAGTGATTTGGTCCTTTAAACAAAAGATTGTAACTTGCATACCTTCTTAAGGCAGTAATGTCTCCACTGGATGCGCAAAATAGAAGATTTACTATATTTAAACCTTTGGTTTCAAATTTATGACGTCTGGGATCTATTTTGTCAGACGCGTGTATTAAATTATCGTATCTATGAAAATTGAATTTCTTAACTAACTCCTGAAATACGCCATTATGACCAAGTTTGGAGGCACAAGACGCTCACCTCACAGAACTGGACTCCTCTACAACTGTTACCAAGGGCATCTAAAGATGGTGACCAAGTGCAGATACCCATGACATTAGGTATAACCACAAGGAGCCCACCACAAACACCCGATTTGGCAGGTAACCCCACCTAAAACAGTTTAATTTATATTGCAAGGAAAATTTATATGTTACTACCTTGAATGCGAATTGACCAGAGTAATCGTACATTCCACAACTATGCATTAAAGATAAAACGTTCCTTACACTTTCAGGACCTAAGACCTTCTCTTCGGTTAATGGACAAATACCACCATTAGCTAAAGTAGCGGCCATTACTGATACTATATCACAGCTCGTTTCCATGGAACAACACTGCAATAAAGGAAATGTAATTGGAACTGTGCTAGTCCATAAGTAACTCACCTGAAAATAAAAATCCATACATTCCCTAAAACTAGTCTTTTCAGGATAGCACTTGTGCTCTCTCATATAAAAACCTAACGCGTAATTTCTGTCTGCAGCTTCACGTTCGGACAAAAAGATGGCATTATTAAATCCTAAGTCTTCTCCGCCAGCCAACCTCTACAATACAGTTAGACAGCCACCTACTTTACCTCGATTTAAAAGAAATACCTCAAAGTAATTCATAGTAAAATCGAATTTCTCCGCCAATGTCATTTCAGGCTTCACCAACGTTTTTAGAAGCGCGCAAACGAGAATCGCACCAGCGTTTATCATCGGATTATGAGGTTTTTCTTAAACAAGTTCGTATCAACAGGTATCTGCAGAAAATAACCCACCTACTGTTGTAATCCAAAATCAATTCGTTAAAATTTCTTCCGCTGGGCTCCTGGCCAACATAGTGATGCACAACATCTTCGCCAAGTTGATCTAAAGCAATAGCATATGTCAAAGGCTTACTGCATGATTGCAATGTAAAAGGTACATTAACATCCCCAAGTGAAAACCTTTGTCCATCAACGGTACAAATGCTAACACCCCAATAGTCGGGATTAGTGCGTGCCAATTGTGGAATGTAGCTAGCAACCTAAAATTGCATTGTGACTTGTGAGATACATACAAGATTGTACATTCCATACCTTTCCTTCTGTATTACTTTTACATTTCCAGTAAATCTCTTCAATCTCCTTTGAGAAGGTTTCAAACTCAGGAATAATGAATTGATGCCTAAACGCTCTCGATATTAAACCAATATTTTGGGACACAATACTGTAACATTCGCAATAAAGTCATAGACTCACAACTTCCAAAAAATACCTAGAAAAGGTCTCTTCGTCTAACTTTTGGGTATCAATAGACGAATTATCCGCATTTTTTTGCATCTTTTTTAAGTTATCCATCATCTCCTTTAGGCGAGGATCTGTTTTTCGTAACCCTGTAGTCCGTAAAGCCTAGAAATGACTGGTTAATTAATCGAACTAAGCTATAAAGAGGAAAAATCTTACGGATAAGAATTTTCCCATTGATAACATGCCAGTCTCTTCATTTTTAAACATTTGAAAAAGTGCTTGTTCTGGTTTATTAAAATCAGAAGACCTAAAATTTTGCTAATTATCTTACTATCGTTTGTTATATTTTCATTTGATGTATGTGACATAGTAAATTGGTGAACTTAACAGATGTTATAGGTATATATGAGAGTACAAGTAAGTCAAGAGATTGGATGTTATTTAATTTTCAAATTGTAATGCGATGATGATGAGGAAATGTTAAATTGTGAGTGTGTATGTATAGTGTCTTTAAAGCTTAAAATAGTGCAAACCTTCATCCAACACTGTTACTGTTTTATATTGGTACAAAATAATTGTTAGTTCACGTTTCAACCTGAAGATCAGGTTAGATTTTGACTGCTAAATTAGATACACAGGATGATTATCGTCACAGATTGATTCTTAATAATATGCAATAAGTTACCTATATAATTACTTCACTAGACAATATTTTAAAACGGGACACATAAACAAATACAATTTGCTTCGACTAAGCCATTTTGAATTTAAAATTTGGTTTTAGGGCCAGTTAGATTATGGTATGTCTTTCTTTTTCATGTTAAATTTTCCAAAATCGTAGTCACAAAATGGGAGTAACTTAACTTGATCCATAAATTTTAAAAAAATGTTACTGAAATGAAAAAAAAAATCCCGAATAAGATCTCAGAAACCAAGTCGCTTAAATAGAGGCAAATTTGCACATTTTGGGGTGTAATTCAAAGCTGCTTACAAAGAGAAGAAATTCGAACACTTTCGGATTCGTTTGCTTCTTTTTTACTTTCTTGTGACTTTGTTTGAAGGGGATTGTTGTAAACAAACTTTTTCTACAAGCTGCCATTATTAGATTTTAAGTTTAACGTTTCGAGTTTTTGAGACCATCATCAACTTTATTTTCCGAGGTAACGACTAGAAGGGATGTTGTTCAAATTTTTGATATGTATATTAGGCACACGGAAACAAAAAATAATGGACCCAATTTTTGAAAAAAAATAGCATCCTAAAATTTTTATTGCGTTATTCGAAACACCTTATTTTTATATATGCAGCCTACAAAAATTGTAGCAAGTTTTATTACAAAAAAAAAGTTAAAAAACAAATTTTTTTTCGGCAAAACGATTATGATTTCTTTAAAATTTTGGCAGTGTACATTAGGCATAAAGGATGTAAAACTTGAGAGCAACTTGATTTTTTCAAACATGAACAATGAAAATGTACCAAATTTAATTTTTTTATACTAAAATATGAAGCTCTGATAATTTTCATTTAGAGTTTCAAAGGTGCAAACAAATTAGCTCTAAATTATCATGAAACGTATACGCTAATACATATACCTACAAACTGTTTATTACAAAAAGCTTTTTTATGATTTTTGAATAATGTATATTTTATTCTAAAAAGGAACAGCATAGAAATTCATTAAAATTCAATATTAATTCAAAAACATTTTTTTGATCACTTGCAGTTTTTTTAAATCATCCCTAGTGTGTTAAATTTTTTAGATTAAAATATACAGGGTGTTCTTTCTAAATGAGGTTAGGTCCGGTAAGTTTTTTAGCTGAATATTTTGCTTTGCTATTTAACAGAATTTAGTTGCATTTAAGTGTATTTAATGGGATGTAATTGTACTTAATGAGATTTAAATGCATTTATTGCAATTTATGTACAAAAAGGAAATTTAACTTAAATTTAAATATGCCTTGGAATTACCTAAAAAAACAGCGATCACGTTTCATTATTTGCCTTTGACGTATATTAAATTTATACTTGTTTATTAATTAGTTAAAGAACTGCAAGTGCAATAACGTTCAAAATGTCCAAAACCATCAGGAAAACGACAATACAAATACATTCATCGTTTTGGCTGCAGTAGCGGAAAATTCGAATATAAGTTTAAGAACAAATCTTCAAATCAGTTTTTTTTCTTCGATTATGTAGGTAGTCTGATTCCGGAAAATGATAAACAAATAGTATCTGATGCAGATACAGCATACATTCTTTAAAAAAACATTACCCTAAGATGCCTTTTATTGCGTCGGTTAGTTGAAACAGAATTAAATATGAAAATCGTTCGACGTCAAACAACGATAACTTAGATGCGATGCGCTTGTAGTTTGTTAAAAGGTTCCAAGCATCACTGATTTATAAAAATGTAATTTTTTATTTTGTCGATTTCTACGGTTTTGAAAAACGGAAAATTATGTGTAATAGTATGAACAGATGCAGTATTTGTTTCTCTCAAAAAAACGTATTCAGACTTTTTCTCTAAAAAAATTAGGGGAGCTAGTAATTGACTATAAAGAAATTACCATTGAAATCCCTATGCTGCGTTGCGCTATAGGCACCACCCTGTATAGATGTTAGGACTGCGTGGTCCAGGAAAGAAGGAGAGGATAATTTTAGGGCGATATCAAAAAAATCACTTTCATTGCAGAAAATCGAGTCATCCGAGACTTACCATTGTGGAGAGGCGGTCTAGGTCAGAAATGTTTACAACATTTTGGAAATCTGTTTGAAATATTTAGGAATGGAAATGGTACTCCTCCAAGTAACCAAATGATAATTCCAAAAGTGCTTTTTTTGGTGAAATAGAAAATCTACATTGAAGTAGTACATGTACAAATTGTGACTATTTGCGTAAATATGGAAAGCGCAAACACTTCTATTAAATTTACATGTTACTGCATACGTATAAAATAAATAAATGATAGGCAAAAACAAACACGCTATAGCTAAAAATAGGTGTTAGTATAACATCTTGTTAGAAGACCAAATGTCGGCCTACGGAAAATTCAGCAGAATCTTACATATCAAGACTCATATAGGGTCTAGGGCCATGAATTAGTGCGTAACTAGTAGCGACCAGAGTTGGTGAAGTATACCTAAGGGTGAGGATCAAGACAGTTGGGCTGCAGAAAACACCGGTATATTGCACATTTATAGACAATTACGTAAAGTTTGGCGGTCGCCCTACGTCATTCATTGTCAACTAACCGCGATATGTAAATTCCAAACCTACAAATTAACAATTGTGCACACTTGAATGCTAAAAGTGCGTGTGGTGAAAAGCTTTGTGTTCTCCTTCATAAAAAAATCTAAAACCACATGGTGAAATGTGCAAGTGAATTCCATTTCTCTGGCAAAATTATCAGTGAGGGGAATTTTACTCAAGGAAGTAGATAAAATGTAATTAATTCGTGATGGAAACAATACGTTTGACACATTTTATGCGTACCTTAAATTGTATTCATCCTGTGTATTACTAAAAGCAAATTAAGCGCATTTTTTGATTATGATTTAACTAAGTTAACTACTTACAAATAAATGTAATTCGGATCGTGGATAAATGAGTATCTCCGTCTGAAATTGTTTGAAGAAGAAATTTGTAAAAAAAATAAAAAATAGGAGCGATTAAAAAGTTGGTTAAGGAAGCGTATTTATACCTGGTTTGAAAATTGTTACGTTTGCCATGCTCTCGATGGTGCCCCTAAAAATTATGCATTTACAAAGTAAATTATAATAATCTTTTAGCGGTTACTTACGTAGTCGTCGAACGAATGATAATAAGATGATAGGAATTTAGAGCCACTGTTTATAAATAGATTATTTAAACGTATTGGGTGACATTTTCGTAAATTTAACACTAGTCGTTTCATATTGCAGAAGATCAATATTGTCCGTACAGTAACAAAAGTTCGTTCTCGAAATGCGGCGCGTGTCAAAATAAAGCGCGATCTATAAGCGGCTGCGATGAAAGCGCGCGGTTACGGACCTATTCCATGAGTGCGCGTACGTAAATTTGTCAAGGGAGCGGTTAATAAAAAACATTTACAATATCAATTAACGATAGAATAGTAATTTCCGGAAAATAATACACTATATAAATTTAATACCATGTATTTTGTCATTCATCACAAATCGAATCATTTAAAAACTTAAATCATACATTCTGAGTGGCTGAAACGGGGGGTTTCAGTTTAGACTAGGTATTTAAACGCTTACTATAAATACTCATTGAAAATCGGAAAATAAAATCACTTACAGTCTTCCCGCCGAACGCAACCTAATTAATTTATTTTATTTAACACTATATCGTGATCGAAACACTATACTTAAGTACGCTTAAAAAAAACTTAAATTGTTGTTTCGGAATCAATCACGGATTGTCCTTGCGAACTGTACGCAGGTGGCCCACTGTTTAAAAATATAGTGTTGCGCACGTTTTGTTTATTAGGATTAAGTAGTTTTTTTTGAGGCACTTGTGGAGTGGCATGGTTATTGTAATGTTGAGATGATCTATGGCTCATGGCTCTTGTGCCGTGAAAATTAGAGTAACTCGAACGAACCGATGCTGGTCTATTATTGTATAAATCATCTACATCATCTGGTTCATTCAGTGACTGCATCGACGACTGTTGATATGTTGGATTACTATGTCCGTTACTCTGCCAACTTTGTTGTAGCATGTTATTATTAGCATTACAATAACTGGGCAATGGTTCAATAAGAGATTGGCCGGTTGAATCCGCATTCGCTTGAATTCTTTGCTGCTGTTCCAATAGTTGCGTCACGGGATTCTGAGCCATCCTCCTCGAACTCCTCGTCGACGAGCGGGAATGTGAGTAACGCCTACTACTTGTACTTTGCCTGCTAGAGGAACCTCGCGTCATTACGCTTCTCCTTTTCACTCGTCTTGGGGTCATAGGTTTTGGAGAAATTGGCACGGTAACCTGCTCATTGTCATAGTCCTCGTCACGTTGTTGACGTTCCAACTGTTGACTAAACTCGATTGAGTAGAGCGACCGCCTTTTTGAATTCGCTTGGGACGACTTTTGAAGTACTGAAACAATGATTACCATCGCCAATTAACCTTCAGAGGAACTCTTGCATGGGGGTTACATATTGAAATAAAGCCATAAAACCTTCCTAATCATAAAAGACCAACATTCCGAAACGCTCTATAAATAAAGTAACAAATCGTTAAACACGTATTGCAATAACCAACCACAGCCTTTATCACAAATTTTCCAATTCAGTTAATAGCCCAATTAAAAATTGATAGCCACTTAATGCAATTAACATTCTTTCATTACTCATATTTTGGCCGGCCCCTCAGTTTAAGTGGGTCTAATTTTTAGCGTTTTGGTATTGCAAAAACAATGATTTTTGTCATCCTAGATCCCGAACAAGTACGTCTATGACCTATTCACGAACTGACTGCATGTATAACTTAATAGAACGACCCGCTTCGATTATTTTCAATTGAAATAATAAGCAAGTAATCATATAAGGTGGCACATGATTAGAAATTTAACACTTGATTATTAAAACCTTCATCAAGGAGAGGGCCTCGATAACAAACATTTATATTTAAAAAAATACTTACGTTCACTGGAACCCCCGGAAAGCATTCTAATCAAGCAAGTTCCTATAGTGATGCCAAATACCTGAAATAACGAAAACATAAACAAAATCTAGAAAAAGAGGACGCTGACATAATAAACCAATAAGATAGAAATCTGTATGCAGACCGGCGCCCGTCCGTCTATGAAATAGACTGTCCTACGGTAAATAATTAAATATGTATATTCAGAATGTTTTTATAGACGTTGCGTGTCACATTTGTAAGGTCATTGGGTCTACAAAACAAAGCGCTAATTAAAATTTCAAAATATAGTCTGTGGCGGCTCGCGACAATATTATGCAAACAATTATAGTACAGCCCAATAAATATAAAAAAAAACAGGAATTTTCTGGGAGCTGGGTATTTACTTCATGCAAAAATCTTTGATTATCAACTCCCTCCCATTTTGTCTCGCTTTTTGTAGTGTGTTATTATATTATTATATATTCCATTACAAAAGGTAAAATTTAATGTGAAAATTCGTGGAGAAATTGATAGTAATATACCAGCAGCCAATCAGTCAATTTTTTTAATGAAACCATAACGATTTCATTATACCGGCCGTTTAAAAATTAAATTTCCTTTTGATTTCCATTCCTATAAAGGACCTTTCATTGAAAGTTCAGACTGATAGCACTTTTCAGTAAGAAGTAGCATTTGCCCGAAAGGTAAACCGCTACTGGAAGCCGAATAACTTAGGTTATATGGACACAGGCAAGTTGACAGTTTGCGCAGTGAGCATATTTGATTTATACTATATACCAGGCATGTCACACGAGGCCCGTAACGATGTTGACAAATTATAAAATTTAATTGTACCGTGTATCCTATTGTGCTTGAGACTGCAGTGTATCTCAGCTGTTTTTAAAATATCTAAAATAGGCAGTGTTTACCTTTTTTCTATCTTACATCAGTAGTAAGAAAAAGCCAAACTTTTCGAATTCGCCCTGTATATCAGAAACAAATGTAATTCTGTTTGTCCTATTAAGTTTTACAAAAAAAGTGGCACAGGGTCGAGAAAAGTCTAATTTGTAATCGGACTCAAGACTAGTTTTTGAGGAACATTTAAAATTGATTTAAAAAAAAATATTTTTCTTTGATAATCAATCAATTACTCAATACAATCGATTATTTTTAACAAACGATTATGATCCTCATAAAACAGTGGATTATTATAATTCGGATAAAGAAAATGAACAGGAGGGGGAGTGGTACACGAATAAGAAAGTCTGCGCATGCGCAATCTATTTTTTTTTGACACGTGACGAATTTGCCAAATACCAACCTACCAAATAGCAAAAAATAATAATACTATGTTATTGTGGACGTTCTGTTCGAGATAATGACGGGGTGGTCGGAGTCGCCTGCTTAGATGGAAGTTCGAGAAAAAATAATTATATAGTTTTTAAGCTGGAATTGTCAAGACACTGGCGGAAGTTGCCTGAGTTAAACAAACAATACGCAAATTGTACCTTTGGCGATTTCTTCTCTTAGGTGACGACGACAGAGGGAAGTGAATAATTGAAGTGATGCTGTTTCTGTGGGGTTTTCAGGGAAGGAGATTCGTCATGGTCTTTTGTTGACAGGACTGCCGCGCTATTAAAACAGTGTCAGTCCTAAATGTCAAATACAGCTGTAACACGAATGAGGACGATCCTACACCATGGGAGAACAATAGAACCTGGGGCACCTACACTGTGGGTCCTACGCTATGGGTGAACAGTAGAACCTGGGAGGCTTCTTCACTGTGGGTGAGATCTGTCACTGTCAGGTGTTCAAATTTTCACATTGCAGTTAGCGCCAGTGTTGCCTTGACCATTGTGTCTGCCAGTTGATCATAAAAATATGCCGTTATCGGCGTATAAACGTTACATATCCCTAATTTTTGTAGCATGTTGTTATTTATTATACCTATTAGCTACTGGTGTTTCGGGCATTTTAGGAAATTTTTCGCTGTCTTCACACCGGTGATCTTTTTGACGATGTGCAGTTTAGGGGTTGTGACTCTTACTAAACGATAAAGAGGATATTGGGGAAACTATCACAACACACATTCTAAGTGGAAATACTCCTATGATATTTAAAATCCCATCTAGACTGGTAGTTACACATTTCTGAGAAATACAAATAGTGTGACTACTTATATGGAGAATTAAACCTCAAACATATTTAATAGGCATGATGGGTTATTCGACAATTTAAGTAAAATTCCACAAATACTTAATACTTACTTTCGCCCCTTATGGGAAAATGAAAAATCTCCAACAGAGGCAGTGGCGGCTGATCAGATGAGACAAGTGATTGAATTCCAACCTTTGAATTTGTCAGTAATAAAGTCAATAGCGACAAATTTAGAGGTTCATCTAAGACATATTCTAAACGTGCATCTACAGTTTGAAGTCATGCAGGGATCTCATATGCCTACAAGAGGAAGCGAACCTCTTTCATAGAGTGGATCTGATTGTATTCGTGCATCTTTTACTTTGCGCCAGAGATTTTAATAATTTGAGTTCATGACAAATCACTTTTTTAAATTTACACCCATAAACTCATCTCTTTTTTGAATACTCAAATGAAATAAACGTTGGTTTATTGATTTAAGAAAAATTCTTCTCATCTGCAAAACTTAGATTACCAACCTTTATAACCCATGTATAGTATATCATGTCGAGAGTATTTTTGTATTTAATGTTATTATAAATCTTTTTTGGGAAAGGTCCTATACCCACAAACCTAGCCATAAACACATATAAATATTTCACAGGATAAAATTTGAATGCAATGGAAATTTTAATATTGTATCCAAGCTACCTCTGCTCATTTAATTAGAGCCCAAATCAGAGCAGAGTATCAGTATTTCGATATTCCTTACTTTTTCCATACTAGGATGTAAAAGAAAATATATACCGCTAAGATACACTGTAGACCTGCTTGAAAAACTTCGACATGTCGATAATCTACAAGACAATTGGTGACATTTTCCCACGTAGGCACGGGAACAGTTGTATTAAGTACCCCTTTACATCCAGGCCCATTCTCCCACCAACTTCCGCTATCTGGATCTAACTTCAATACTCTGCTTTCCTAAAATGTAACTTGTTAATTGTGATCCTTTTAAAAACAGCGTCCTCACTTTGTGTTGTAAAGTTCCAATGTCCAAATATAAACAGATTAAAAAGGCATTCCATCCTAGCCAGACCACGTTCGAGAGGGAGTACTGTGAAAGAGTTTGATTGAAATTATTATTCCTTCGCTACCTATTCACTTACCCATATCAAATATTTCACTCTGAATTGGAAGGCGCCAAAAAATCCAAAAATGACAAAAATAATTTCAAAAAAATTTACGAGTATCGGAATCCACAGGAAACCGAAGAAGTCAAACACCTGCCGTTCTATCACAGATATCTGAAAAACTTGGAGTAGTTATATTTTATTTTAGGGGGGTACCTATACCAATTGTAAAAGACACACAGTGAGAATAAAGTATCGAGGCTTACAAATTCCCATAGCAGTTTAATTGTTTATACACAAAGTAATAGTTCACTAACTTCATAACTCACAATTTTTGTTTTGCGTACCAGAACATACACTTTTCATTGAACAAACTTTTTGGGTACACTTTACACATCCTGTTTCTTAAGTTAAAGCTCATTTATAACCTCTTTAGTCTTTTAGTTTCGAAGCATTAAGAAGACAGGAAGAGGAGGAGACCTTTGCATGACTCTTCCAACAAATATTTAAATTAGTGCACCTGTTGATTTAATTTAAATTCATTACAATACACTAGTTTTGCTAACAATAAACGGACAAAGGGAGCACTGTAGCTGCCAGTATGGAAGTAAACAGTAAATACAATGAGAATACACTTGTGTGAGAAACCTGTAAACTTGTATTACTAGTTTATGAATGAACTTTACTATCATACGTTCGTGTAGAATGGGTTGCCACTTTTAAATTTTAAGGGCATTGGCCTGTACATACATTTTCCTAAGTTTATTGAGATAAGAGATTAAACCATGTTAATGTAATTAAACAATGTTTAATTAACAGTAAGTAGGTAGGTATATGCCATTCGACAATTACTAATTAAATGGATTTTCCTGTAAGTAGTGTAACTTGGGCCCGTATTTAAACTGATTTCAAGAAATCAAAGCAGCAAATTGAATAACGCAAAATTCTGGTAAAATGGTAATTTATCTGATAGGTAACTTTCATTAAAACGATTCATTTAACAATCATTTTTGATAGGAGTCACCTATATGGCTCACATACTAGCTGGAATTCAAGGGCTGACTGGGGCACAGGCAAGGGTCAGTTTCATTACCTTCTACTAAATGTATAATGTGAAATTTAAGTTCAAGGAATCAAGTTAATAAAAAGGTGAAAATATAATACAAAGCCATTGCCTGAAAAACTTTTGTTCCGATATAGCATACTTATTTATACGCGGGTATTGTATGTATATTAAGTAGGTATGAGAAACTATTTTCTGAAAGAAAAAATTGTCGATCAATGCTGCTTTCCAACAATTTAATTCATCATAAACCTATTTCCAAATATAAAACAGGTATAGGTATTGATTTTCCGTATAGAAATTACTAGTCTTCAAGGCAACGAGATAGGTAGGTACCAGTTCGCTGGTGGGTATCTGAAATTTTATTGTGAAATTGATATTGTATCAAAGTTATCTGTGTGTAAAGGTACATTATCCTAATCTTATTTTTGTGTAGATAGCAACCTATGTAGATGTATGTACCTATAGAGTTCAACCTTTTAACCCAAACTAATAAAAGTGGTGACCGAAAACAAATGGGTAATTCAAGTCCCTCAGACATATAGTTACGTTGAACTATTATATAACTTTTTCAAGTTCTGATGTTTAGTACAAACTTTTGCTATCAAAAGAGATGACTTCAGATTAGGTCAACAATAACAGTGATATTCCTAATTGCAACATTCTTGTGTGGAGTTAATACGCACTTTTTGATCCAGGATATCTTAGTCAAACAATTTTTTATTCAATGGTCAAACTAAACTTTTTATATACCTACCCTGCATTTTTACTACTTTTGGGCATAAAAGTCGCTACAGTTAAATCATTGAAGAACACGTGGAAAAATTACATTTCCTAACCAAAGGTGCACGTATTGAAGGAACGGGTTCATCACTTCGTCAAGAAATTTATTTAGGGTGTTAGAAATGTCGTTTTATCGGGATCCTCCATACGTAAATGAATTACCTACATGCCAACTTAATAATTATGACAATCTATAAACCGCATTTGACTGGAACAAATAAACACCTAAAGAGCATCTAAAAAACCGGCAGAGCACCTCGGTGTGACCCTACAGGGTCATTGGATTTGACCCATTTTCAATTGGCTTGTTACATGTCGTAGGTACCTATATATGTTAACTGTGCAAAAATTTCAACCAAATAGGTTCGAGCGTTTGGCAGGGACAGAGAAGCGTAGACCCCACAGGGTCATTGGATTTGACCCATTTTCAATAGGCTTATTACTTGTGGCATATAGGTCAACTGTGCAAAGTTTGAACCAAAGCGGTCCAAGCGTTTGACAGTTATCGTGTTCACGGACGAATGGACAGACGGACACCATATAGTTTGCATCGCTTTGCTCTGCCGCTTAAGGAAACATTAATGCATTGGGAAATGTTACCAAGCTTTGCTAATTTTGTCCACTAATTGGTTAGAACCAGGTAATTTACAGATGTGATTATAGAAAAATGCAGTAAAAGAAACCGGTATTTGTCCATCTTTATTCAATTATTGCCTAAAATTTTTCGATAGACTTATTTACACAAGGGATTGTGTTTGACAATACATGAAGAAAATATGCAAAACTGGAACTGTATTGTTGGTGGTCTAACCATTTGCAATAATATTGAAATGCAGATTGACCATCATCTTATAAAACTCATTTTTCTCAGTGATATATAGGTATTTATATAACTTTGTAGATGTAGTATATGACAATAGTAGGTACCTATCTTTAAGTGCTGACGAAAAAAATAATCTGCCATTTTCATATTATAATTTTTCAAGTCACCTTACAACGGTTGTTGTTTATGGAAAACGATTTTTCTATTAATGGCATTAAAAAATTAAGACTGATAATCCATCTTTTTTGATAGTACAGACAAAGATCATACTGTGCTCTTTGATACAGACATTCTTTTTATTTTTATCATTGCAAAGAATATCCAGTAGGTATCGACAGTTTGCTAGCAGCATTTCATATTAGAACGTTTGGCTGGTAGGTATGTTATATATGGCCCCATTTTATCTGTGATATGGCAAACCTACAGAGGAATCTTAATATCTTATAGACTCATTTTTCTCAGTGTATATAACTTCTTTTACAAATCAAATTCCATATAATTTGTATGGATTCAATAAATATACATTCTCTCAGTGAATAAAAAAGGGGATACAATTCACATCGTGAGACTAAGTGATCAGATGAAGATCTCTCAAGTGTCCTTGTTTGTCATGATCTTTTAGAACATTCGAGAAAAGTTCTCGGAGAATAGAAATGATTAGATTTTATAATATACTTATGTCTCAAATTTGGAGCATCAAACAAGGAATTGAATATGCGCCGTTTTCGAAATAATGTGCGACTTATCATATTGCGATAACCGTTTGGATGATGTTTGCACTTAAAAATATAAGATAATGTGACTTTAGAGGTGGTGAAGGTCCATGAAATTTGGGTCAACTTAATCAACGATAAATGTTGATAGGTATAACAGTGCCAAAAGAAAGTGGAAGGCGTTTAGGTGTGAGACCCGGTTTAATAGGTAGAGAAACGGGAAGTTGGCCCGTTGCGATTTATTTGAAAGTTCCGAATGTTTCGCAAATTTGAAGATGTAGAGCAAAGCGCGACGATATTGCCGAAAAATGGACGTTTTTAAATGCGGAGATAAGTGAAAAAATTGGAGATAAGATATTTTGATATAATTATGTAACGAATTAAAGTGCGATGTAAGTGAAAAATCTTGAGGAATGAATTACAAAATTCCCACATTTCGTAAGTATGGGTGATTGACTGTAGATGGCAACACGAACTAGGAACGACTGAAGGGAGTAATTTAAATCTGACGTCATTACTTCCACGTTGGCCTGGAACTAGCAGACGTCGTATGGTCATAATGCAAATTTCTCCCGTTACTAGAAAATGCAAATAAACAAAGCAGTGTAAATAAATCAAAGTGTTTGTAATGGTGTTGTTAAAAAGTGTGTGTTAAAAGACTCCCACTAGTACGCAATATGTCACGTCTTTTACTGAAGGAATACATGGACGATAACTTAGATTGCGGCATGATGGACCCTCTGACCCAACTTAGGCGAGAACTGGACGAAATTGACATCCCTGCAAACATGCAGTATGAAAATCCAGGCCTCATGGTTAGTTTTGATAACATTGCTCTCCACTTGATAACCTTATTATTTTGACTGCTCAATTCTTTCTCGCATTATTGCAACAATTGTAATACTCTAATTTAGTCCTCAGAGTTCTTCGATTCCGTACTTTCAATGGAACACAGCAATTTCGATAGCGAGACCGACAATGTTAGTTTTAGTACCATCGATACCGACTGTGGCCTAAGCAGCGATGCTGAAGAATTACGGATGACGAATAATTCCTCGCCGGAAAGTGCAACTTCGAGTAACGGATACGAACTTAATGATCTGTAAGTATTCATTAATTTCCGAAAGTGCAGTGTAATTTTCTAGTTGCATTGTTTATTACAATAAGTGAATCATTGAATGTAATGTTGTTTATAAATGAACATTGTTGCCATTGAATCATCCCCTTGTGACTAAAGATACAGTTATTTATTTATTACGCAACATGCTTGATTGTTGTATAAGTTTGAATAATTGCGGGATAAAATATCATTAATAATTTTGATAATATACTAAACCAGCCGGCTTAGGGACACAACTCCATAAGGTCTATGATCTGAATCCAGGTGTTACACGAATTGGAACCCTGCTCACCCAAAATTAACAAGTATATTATTGTTAATTGTAGAACAGTCAACATACAGTACATTTGTCAGTTTTTTAACGGGTGTCATAATCATTATTGCTGTTTTAGCTGTATTGATGGTTAATGTTCGATGTTGTGTTTTTATTTCTTCTAGTTTATCATGTGTTTATTCCTCGGTTTATTCAAACAGTCTTTAATTATTTATTTCGTTTTAATTTTACGTTTCACGTTACAAGCACCTCCACTACATCACTGAATTTCTATATCTTAAAAGTGTCTCTACTGTCTAAAACTAATGAACCTAACTTCAAGTTACATGTTTGTTTCACACCAGGTGTTTGCCTGTCAATCAATATGTTGAGACCCTGACAGGTCATTCATGTAAATTAAAAACAAGAGTGGTCCGAGGTTACTACTTTGTGGCACACCTTTGGTAATACATTTTTCAGATAAAGTACATTTTTCTCTACGGAAGCTAACTTGATTTTTAGAGAAAACGTTGTTATCCTCAAAATATTTGGAAATTCTTTGTTAACAAACCTTGGAAAATGGATGTGGGACGGTAGTTGTTTCTATACAGGGCAAGTTGAGTTGGATCAGCATGCCTTTTTAGTACGAGAGCTAGCAACGTCGAAAAAAAGCAAGAATTATAAAGTTGAATATTTATTTATCGTATTTAAAACTAGATAGGACCTTTTATTTTTTAGAAATCGCCGTTTTTTATGGTTTTAAATTTTGCCCTCGGGTTTGGTAATTTTTTCTCGTGTCAGAGTCTTTTAAAAAACCAAAAAGAAATTTGATTCGGCAAAAAAAGGACCAATATATCGATTGGATCTTTTTTAATTAAATGTCTTCATATAGTAGGGGAGCAGTACCTATCACTAATCTGTAAAAAAATCAGCTTCATTAATCCAACCGTTATATTCGTAGAAAGTTTGTGAAAAACTGACTAAGAATTATTTTTTACAAAGTACAGATCAAATGTTCGCGATTTTTATAAATATTTGTTTAAGAGTTATTAACCTTTCATTTGGTGCATAATTTAGTTTCTCAAAAAACAACCATTTAGAATTGGTACCAGCAGAACGTCGATTTTAGCATACTTGGATAGGCCAAAGTGGAACTTCATCGGTTAAAATCTTCACCAAACTCTTGTGCGCTCACTTTATCTCGTAGTTTAACGTCAATTAAAGAATTACAGAGTAACTAAATTGTTCATGAAAATTTCTGAAAATATTGCCTTTTGCCTATCGATTCTGATTTAACGCACTTGCGACTGTACTGTTGGTATGGTAAGCATATGTAACAAATGTGGTCTCGAAAGTAATCGTTCAGTAACAAACAGTCCAAAGAATTTCACGGGCAAGTGTCCATTTTACACCCATTTAACAAACAGTCCAAAGAATTTCACGGGCAAGTGTCCATTTTACACCCATGCGCGTGTGCCTCGCCGTCCGCTTATGGGGCCCCTTCACGTGCATTCCCTGAACGACGCGCCATCGGTTTTGGAACGAAGCGTGGAGCGCCAACTTCTGGCGCGTTGTGCAGTGAATAAACTACACGTTCGCGCCATTTCATTCATTCCAAAGTGGTACTGTCGACAAGATGAGTTTGGTAAAAAAAAATTGCAGCTGTAATTCTTCACAAATATATGATGGATAACGTAAATGAAGAGCCCAAGAAGAGGAGGAAGAGGTCCAAGCCATGGTATTTGAAGAGACAGAAATTTGGCGATTTGATTTTATTACAAGAAATTAATAATACTCGTAATAATACCAATCCAGAGGATTACCACAATTAATGTCACACCGCACAGCACACACAAACAAACCTATAGGACTTTTGCTAATGTAGTCTATCCTTTTTCCTCTCCAATGTTTAACAGCGCATCCTCTTCTAACGGCGCGAAGGGAAGGCGCGAAACGAAACTACACGCTCGCATTTGGCGCGCGGAGGCCTCGCGCCACGCCAGGAATTCAAACATGTTTGGTTCCATCGCTCCACGCCAGGCGCGTATCATTCATGGCGCGAGGATGAACTACACGCACAGTTTTGGATTGACGTCACTCCAAAACTTACGGAGCGTCGTTCCGGGAATGCACGTGAAGGGGCCCTATTACGGGAGACGTGCGGTAACCCAAGGTTAGTAACGAGGTTAGTAGCCAGTCGGCCCGGCAGCGTCACACGACGTGGTGGTACATCTGTCAAAGAATAAAGCAGGTGGATGGATGGTTTTCTTTAAATGACATAATAAACAATCATATCGTTCGGAACTGATAGGAATTTTCGAATCATCTTCCTAAGCCCTAAAATACGCAACTTTTTTCTAATTTAACCGACTGACTCCATTATGGTCTCTGATTTCCCCATGCTGTGCGTGTGCAATCGTGTATTTATTTTACTTTTGCCAGTAAGGGACACCTCCAACCGTTTCCATTTAATTAATAAAATTCAATGTTGTAGATTAAAACCATAGCAGCTATAAATTTTATTTTATTTTATTTTGCCTTTATTTTTGAGTGGGCGGGGTTTCAGCCAAGGCTGCTCTACCAACACAACCCACTATACATTTACAAATATCCATGCCCGAACCCGGATTCGAACCAGAGACCCTTAGCACCACAGTTAAGGCTTTAACTCCGGCATTATAGCTCAGTGGTATAGAGCGTTTGGGTATCAATCCGGAGGTCGGGTGTTCGAACCTGGTTTGAGGTGAATTTTTCATCTGGTGCAGAGATGGGAATTTCCTTAGATCAGTTTCGAGCATTCTGCCGGCTACTCCGAATTAGGTTTTCCTGCAGTTTTCCTAATTCGTAAGGTAAATACCGGAGTAATATAGAACAACTTAAGACCTTCTGCAGGGGCACCTCTAAAAAGGATTATGCGGGTCACACTGTAATTGGGCGTAAGCCTGTTGAGGGCCTAGAACAAGAGGGACAATAAATAAATAAATAAATAAACTGAACTGCGCCACACGTGCACTTTACTCTCGAGTAAATGGCACCTCCAACCATTAAAACACAATTTGTCACTTCGAAATTTGGAGTTTATTAAGCAACAATTAGAGAAGTTAGCAAAAAATTCTATAATTGTCTTTGGTAATTTATTTTCACCCTAAATACATTTGACTCATTTGAAGGGCTCCAGCTTAATGTTAAGTTAGCACTCCCATTCTGCCAAATAGGCGGAGCAATAAATTTCACGGTAATAGATTAGTAGCACCTTTGTAGAAAAATGTGGCTACTGCAATTATTATATTTCTCATTATACTACCCAACAACCATATTCCAAAGGATATAAACAATTAATTCCACATTTTGTTTGCAGAATTCTTGTTAATGGTACCAATGTAGAATACAACATTAATAATAATGATCCTATGCTGCACATTCTCAACCAACACGAAAACGTCATGGATAAGGCGCCACAGGTTCAGATTCCATCAAACTTGTTTATTAACAATCCCAATGGAAAGAAAGTAATAGTCACAAAACCAGTTACATTGAAGAGTAAGTACATGTAATTTAATGAGAACGAAAAATGTTTAATTCAGATGAATAATAGATATTTTAATTGGGGCCAAATGTGATACATTGATCAGATATAGGGGTTATCTTGTATTATTTTTCTCTTTATTGTAAAATTATAGTAATTCTAATTTTTATTTCTTACAGATAACAGAAAATCCGTAAATACCGCCAAGCAGGTATTCCGTGTGCAATCCATATCCGGAAAGGGAAGGTGTATTTGCAATTCCAGCATGTGCCAGGTATAATCGTTGTGTTTTCGCAGATCTGTTTTACTTCCGTTCAATGTTGCAAAAATGAAAAATATAAAAATCATAAATGGGAAAGAGTTACAAGCTGAGAATATAAAGGTTACTAAAATTGTCGATGCGGTTCCCACAAAACAAACGTTTGTCGACTGCTACGAAGCATCATCGCCCGACACATTCGATGATGATTCCGATTCGCTAGACACTAAGTCCGAATCAGACCGCCAGTATCCTATTTTAGTTCTCTCCGATGAAGAGAAACGCTTACTAAGTAAAGAGGGAATTTGCCTACCCACACATTACCCGCTAACAAAACAAGAGGAGCGTGAGCTTAAGCGAATACGAAGAAAGATTCGTAATAAAATATCCGCACAAGACTCAAGAAAACGAAAAAAAGAGTATGTGGATGGACTGGAAGAACGGTAAGGTATTACCCATAATTGCTTTGAGACTCATTCGAATCTTCTTATAGCATTAAGCAGGGTGCCGAAGAGAAAAAAATTCTAATGAATCGCGTCAAACATCTGCAACAGCAAAACAGCAAACTAATCGCGCAGATGCATAAGCTACAGGCACTCGTTTTTAACACAAGTTGCAGCAAGGCAACGCCTACAACTTGCTTGTTAATTGTGCTCGTTTCTGCGCTGCTTGTGTCGTTGCCTAATTTACGTATTCCTCAAAAATCAGAACTGAGCGATCAGCAACAGCTCACCGCACGAAGAGCGTTACTGTCCAGTTCACAAGGTATGTTGACTCAAAATCGTTTTCATAGTTCACTTATACTTTAAAATGTTAAATTTATTTGGCAATGACATGTTGCCATTTTTCAAAAAATGTGTAAATAGAAAATATTTTTGGGTTTGTGTTGGAAAAAATTTGTATCTAACAATTATACTCCCTTTCTCTTTTCCAAAACATTTAAATACTTTTGACTTTTCGAACGTATTTATAATTTAGTATAGTATTTTCAATTTTGCCCAGGTCTGTCTGTCAGTTTGTGTAGACCATTAACGTCTGACGGGACAAAAATAGATCTTTTTGAGGAAAGTTGTTCCCCATCTCATGATGACATTTCTTTGTTACAGCTACGACTGAGGATTCGATAAACCTAGATGAATTCTTATTATTTAATAAGGAAGACAGTACCGTCATTTTAGACGAAGATAATAACACCGAAGAATATAGTTACATAAACTATGAAAAAAGGTATGAAGGGCACAACCTTATCAATGGAGACTCGGGCGATATCGACAGTGACGTTCGAAAGACTTTCGAAAGATTAAAGGATTTCCTCGAAGAGGAGCTTAACGATAGGAAAGCGAAGAAGGCATCGTTCATGGAGAGAAAATTCATTGAGCCTGATATAGACGATTATGTTCCCAAAATCGGTATCGATGAAGACGAATATCCTCCTGCAAAGAAAAAGAAAGTGGACGAGTTGCTGCAGGTTGATCGTAATTTTAATGCCGGCCAGCAGGTCTCGGCTACATTGTCTGTGAATGCGTCGAAAAAGGAGTGAACGTACTTTGCTTTAAATTAATTTACAAGCTCGATAGATATAATTTGTTATTCTGAATGTATTTTCATGCTTTGATAATGCTGTAACTATTGCTTATGGTGTTCTAGTTTATCCTGATCGGATTGTGTAAGAGTAAGAAATATTTTTTATAGAAAATTCTATCGCAAGTGTTTAGCATTGCCAAAGAATGTGATTGAACTATTTCCATTTCGATTTTTTTATAGATTTTAATATATTATAAAATATATATATTTGTCTTTACTGTTGTAGTTAGATTTATAATTATGTTTATATGTCATGTATCAAACTCACGACTTTCTGGTATGTGACAAGATGGAACCAACTTGTAGCGTGTATACAGTGTACTTTAACTTGGAAAATAAATAAACTGAAATGTTTTTTGAAATTTTTCTTGAAAGATATGCTCCTTGAATTTTGTGTCTGATGTCTTGGTGTCAGGTTTTGTGATAAACACCTAATGTGTTCAAAATCAAGTGCCAAATTCTTGATGGAACAGCTTCCTAGCTCAATTAAGATAGTTTAAAAAACGTTTTTGACAGTTGTACATCCTTTGTGTCTAATGTACAACTTTTAACGAAATCATAATAACCGTTTTGGCAAAAAAATGTTTGTTTTTGAATTTCTACAGTCAGTGGTACTTTCGCGGGACACGGAAAACCATTATTTCGCCCGCCTGCTACGGCCCTAGTAGTAATCATATCATTTCATTTTTACTTATTTATTAGCGACCCAGCTCGTTCATGATTTTGAACTTTCTGTCGGTCGGTATGTGTACATGATAGGTAATTCACAAACGGTCTGTGTGCGTGGTAACTCGCGAACGGTTTTGAATTGTACAATTCTCTGTTTAGTATTACGTTTATCATTATCACCACCCAAGAATTACCTGAATTAACTGATTAAATTTTCAGTGACCCAGGAGCTCGTTTGCTATTTGTTACAAATTTACTATTACCTGTGATCGTTATACCCCACTCTATTAACTTTTTATTTTGGAGAGGGAAACGTAAATGCAGTTTCTTCTCGAATGTTGCAGATGTTTAGGTCTAATTCTAATTCATATTTTAAATCCATATTTTTTTATTGCACCTCGAACGTTCACTTTAGAATTTAGATTATCGTACTGCATGCAACGCCAACGATATCCGCGATAGCTTCAAGAAAATAGTACCAATAAGAATAACGATTGTATCTTTATTCATTGGATTGTATCATGGTGTTTGACATTAAACCTGGATGTCTAATTACATTTGCAATTGTGCCAGGTCAAGACCGTTTTGATCACCAATTAAGAGGCAAAATTGAATTTCAACACCCCTAATATACCTATCTAATTTGAATTATACACCCACACCGAAACGCAACCCTACTCGATCATGTACATTGGCAGAAGCAAAAGAGTTTATTGAGGATTATTTACGCGATTTGTAAAAAAAGTAATTTTTTAGCAGCAACTCAAATCCGTTTCGTGTAATGATTCATTTCCCTTCTGGAGTTGAACGAAGATTGCAGTATTGCATATATGTTTAGCATTGTAACATTTGCCTATAGAACAAGTGAACGATCCTCGAGTTTGCTTTTGGGCTGATAGTCTACGTCGATGAAAACAATAGCAACCTTTCTTATATCCATAAGAACATCAGTTGCGTACGTAGAAATTTATTCTGGGGGGATTAAACAAGTTCGTTGCACATACAGTGACCCAGTGCGTACTAGAAGGGGGGGGGGGGGGGGGGGGGGGGGTAAGAATAGAAATTGGGTTGCAGATTGCTGATGCTGGTAGTCATTTATCTATTTATTATTGTACAGGCGAAAAAGATTAGATTAGAACGGTATTTTATTTCTTACTGCTGACAGGCCCCTTTATTGCTTTTGCTTTAATTGTTCAACGAAAACTTTGAATAATAGGTATATTTATAGGCAAAAAACCAATTTCGACAAACAATTTAAAGGGCTGTAACTTTTGATCTAGTAGTCCGATTATGGAACTGTTTGAAATTATGGATTCTACAGGCCACATTCTATAAGAAAATATTTTTTTCCGGTCGATCTGAGACAATTTTTTTTCGATTCGTACTTTTTCGATTAGACGTTTCAATCAAAAGTTATGGGCAAAAAAATTCCTGTTTTTAAAATTTAAAATTCTTATTTTCGTCATTTCGTGAAAGGCAGGACGCAGGTACCTCACCTCAGTAGCAGTACTAAGTACCTGATACCTATTTGTTATTTTGGGCATCAATGTAGCGAATTGCCGATCGATGCCGAATAGCCAAACGTGTGACTGCCAACACTGATCACTCACTGAATAGTGAATACTGAATACTACAGAATATTTAGATTTTAGTGACTTAGACTTTAACCAAAACCAAATATTGTCTCTACCTATATATTATTGCCTTTATTTTAAAGTGGGCGGAGCGGATAGCGGAGTATTACTAAATACCTAATAGCTATGATAACTCAATTCTTCGGGGGGGGGGGGGGGGGGGGGAATATATCCCCTTCCCCCCCCCCCCCCGTAAATACGCCACTGAAGAACATCTGCCCCAATTTTCAAAGTGATCGGACTGTTCTAAATAAAGTTATCGTGCACACTAGTAGACGGACAGAGAGCAATACAGATTACATAAACGATCTCGAAGTCGTTAATAAAACTAATAATTCACCATGTACTACCTATAACTAAATAATAGGGTCTTTACACAATTTTATCATCTTATCTTTATGCTTGGAAACCTTTTAACCTGCCTATAATCGGGATCTTGTCAAAGTCTACTCGCATTATTGTAAGGGTAAAGAATTTTCCTCCGTGCGTATACCCTCCCGTTAATCGGAGAAAATTATAACTTTTACAATGAATCATTTTTGGAAATAAATTAAGGGAAGGGATGTGCATGGTTGTTGTTTATGTCTGGCATGTTTAATATATAGACACAACACAACTATTTAAATCTGTGATATAGATCTTCCTATTAAGGAAATGCGTTATCATGTTGTTATTTTGGGCTTTCCGAATGCGATAGGTTTATGAACTTCTGCATCGGGCGAATGCATAGGAGAAATTAATGTTAAGGGACGGGACGACTGCAGGAGGGTTGGAGTATTCTTCGCGCAAGTCCTTTATAAATAGGCATTTGGATACGTTTTGTTTATATTGGTTATCGTAAATACTGGATTAAGTGACCGATATTTCGTGGTTGTAGATAAAATGAGACGCAATAATTGTGATTCATATCGACTCGTCAGGGAAGTAGATTATGGGTGGGGGAGAAGGGTGTTGATAGCGTTTCTTTTCTGTACATGCGGTGCGGCGTTTAGTTAGTACAGTGTCGTAGTCCAGTAGACGGAGTAGTGAAAAGCAAAATGGCTTCCACTTGCACGATGGAGGTCGCAAAATTAACTAAAGAAGAGCGAATAGAAATTAAAGAGCAATTTACAGTGGTAAGTACTTAGTTCTATCGGGCTGTCCATCTTTCTTGATATCTAATCGGCGCGCCTAAACTTCCTTTTATCTGTCGCACTAGTAACACATGAGTTTACTTGTTAGCTACGCCCAAGTGACAACAATCTTGTTTTGTCAATATTTAAATACCAATTCAAATTTTTCGAAATCGACGTGCACCAAAAATCGCCTACTGAAAGCCCTAAATTCAAAGATATACACCAGATCAGAAAAGCGTGACGGAATATCGCTAGCGAAATTTAAATACAATACGAAAATTCAATGTCGTACGAGCGTAAGAAATTTGTATAATGAGTCATAGTACCTTGCCAGCGTATGTAGGACTTAGGTAATAATTCTGTATCTTTTATTTGAATGCACTTTAATTAATGTGCGCCCTCGAATTTGAGATGTAAGTTGTGAATTCAAGTGTGCCTCGCAATTTCGCGCTAACAAAGCACGTAATATGATACAACAAACAATCTTGTTTTACATTGTAAATTAATTGCCGACTAGGAAACCTTTCCAGGTAAATTAAAAATTCGTCGTGTAAATGAAGTAAATCCGCCTACGCTCGCAAAATTGATATGTCAGTATATGACTAATTATCAAGTCACGGTACAATATTACTTCTTCCTTGATTTTTTACTTGCGTAATTCAAGTATTGACTCATTTTCTGTAAGTCGCTCTCGTAGGTAAATTACTTAAAAAAGTTAACGGTTCCCATTGAGTCATGCACTTCCTTCAAATTTCATTCATTTACCTCGTTATAAAATATGCTAAGCATTACAAAATTAATGTTATTTAACTGTTCAGCAAAAATAAGTATAACTTCGCGTTACCTGCTGAAATTTGAGTTATTAAGGCGCATTATGCCGATAAATAGCGTAATTATTGCCGTTCGTTAATTTTAATACGTCACACGAAATTACCGTCTTTATCACCGTTTCTTTTGCATTTCTAGTTTTGGTATTCCACCAATACGAAATTGTTCACATTATCAAATGTTTTTCTGCATGATGATAATGCGGGGGACTCCCTTATTTCCCTAGTTGTCCTTCAAAGTGTTTGTTTTATTGCCTATATGCTCCATCCACTGATTAAAAGCGAAAAAATTTAAACTAATTACCAATGCGGATAGGAGGAAAGAAATAGTTCGATTTAATGGCTTACCTCCCACCTGTGGAAAATTCAATAAAGCTTTTCTTTCTTATTTTAAAAATGTCCTAAGAGATGTTTCTCCATTTCATACTCCCATCTTTGCCTTGAAAACTGTGGAGATTTGGGCCAAACAAATTTCGAAAAAAATGTTTTGAAATGTTTTAGTTGAGAAATACACAAAAAAATGTTCAAAAAAATTGGGAACTGGCACTTGACTACTTCTTTCTCTCCCTCGCTCCATTATAAAAAAAACGAACCAAAATTATTGACACATTTCCGAAACATTTTCAAATTTCTTACACATTTCTCATTTAATCAAATTTATATCTTACCGTTTCTAGAATGCCCAGTGGCACCGTATTACTTGTTTTACAATTTTTACATTCACTGAGCAATTGTATATACTCACAACTGCCATAGTACCTTGTGTCACCAAAACCAAATACATAATATTTTTCGTGAGGGTTCAGGTAATGACAAGTACCTACCTATTTGGAAATTGTGACAACAGAAATTGTATCAGGCCTCGACGAAGACGAAGGTCTGAACACTTATACCAAAAAAGGGCTCGGAATAAACATTTACCTTCGCATTTACTGTAAGTTAATTAATTTCTAAAGCAGTGGCGAAAATTTCGTATCCCACCTGAAGCGTACCCATTAGCAATAACCCGGTTCGAAATGGATTCGCGGTCGTTTCTAATTTAAAGAATTAATGAATGGTAATCGAAAACGTAACCCCCTCGAACTTTCCCCCTTGCGGTAATCGAATTTTAAATGCTCGCTAGAATTGAGCGAAAATCGTCAAACCATAAACGCGTAATAACTCACCTGAAACGTGTGCGTTATGTAAACCGTTAAAATGGTCCGGTTGTTTCAATTTGGGCCATTAGCGAGCACACTAAAAATACTTTTATGATTCAGGGATGTTGTGGTGCATACGAGGAGTAGACTTGGTAATTCAATTACATCTTAAATGCTGTTATTATATTAAACTCTCGTCAGTAATTGGTATTCATTATTGTACATCGACTCCTCGTTGGGCCCCAAACTACTTTAGTGAAGTGAAGAGGAAAAATAAATACAAGACTAACCCTATCGTGGGGGCGTTCAACTCGCTTTTTTTTTATTACGCGAAAGGGTGCGGTGACGTGGTTTGCTTGCTGTAGGGCCGACTTGTGTATGACTAAACTAAACATACGTTTCATTCGAAAGTTCAAGTGGCTACCGTATGTTAATTTCGACCATAGTCGAATTGGGGGTCATCGAAAGGATCATTACTTTGTCATCGCAAGTTTCCGAATCGTGCCATAGACCGGTTTTCTGTATAGAATTTCCGATTAAGCATCGGCGGTCGATGCTTTCATGTGATCTTATTAAAAATACCCACCATTATTTTGTAAGCTTTCGTTCATTATCACTAAGATTCTTTAAATTCCCTCAACTCACAATGCAAAAATGTCATAATTTGGTACATTTTTTATATGACAGTGTCAAATGTCATTGTCGTTAACTTCGCCATATTTGTTCCATGAACTAGATGGAAGTATAATTCTTTGTGCGCTTATATGGAAAAATATTTAAATGACTCCATGACCTACATACTTCAACTTGAAAAGTAAAAGGTGGGAGGGACATTTTATTCTACCCCTAGACCTAATTGAGTTCATCAATCGAGAGTTTATTTTTAGAAAATTATCTTCTCTTCCAATTGGTATGCCAACTGCCCATTACGAATATCTGAAATACAAAATGGGGCATTGTACCTTTGAAAATATCGTAGACGGGAGTGGCAGGGTTAACCGCAATAACTTCTGTCTGCAATTTGTAAGCTTTTAGCTTCTTTTTTCTGCCGTGACGTAAAGACGTTAACAGGGGATTCTTTTTTTCTGCTGAACCAAAAAGTAACATACGCAATTACGCGAAAGGCTTAAATTTGTAGTTATTTAACCAATAGCACACGCTGTAGGTAGAGGGGACAAAAACGGACTATTTTCTAAGGAGCCAAAATATTTCGTTTGGGTATATTCACAACCTTAGTTTCAACTTAAGTTTTTTTGGGCAACACCAAATCTCCGCCTGACCTCTCGGGACGACTAACGTAAAGCAACAGTTACAGTCATCTTCCCCACAACTTTTAATATGTAAATAATGATCAGCTCTGTCAAATTTCAATTTCAATCTTGTAACTTTTTTAAGTTATTATCGTTCCAATTTTAAAAAGTACCTACTTCCCCCTCATTTTGAGACCTACAACCATAGATCGCCACCAAAAATGTTGTAATCTAAAGTCTGGCTATTGAATGTTTGCCGGTATGACGTCACTCGTAGATTCTATCACAGAAATGCCAATTTACTACGGTCTTTATTGTACACATAGTACATACTGTGTCGAGTACTGGGTTTATCAAATTGATATAAAACCGTATGTCTGGGCCATAGCGAAGCCCATTGAACAACCATGCGACCACAGTCACTTAGACAAAAAAAATGGATTAAAGTTTGTCACAGCGTTCACCACATCGCCAGTGCGGTTCGTGTCTGTTCTGTCCTCGGTTCTATCATGCGGTAGATGTCATCAACTTGTGTTTCCGTATTTTGTCATCGAACTAATCGCAGGTAAATTTAGACAGAGGTTTGCATGTAACCGTTCTACCATTTCATTGTTGGTAGGCGAAGATATTACATAGGTCATGATGGCTATGGGGACGGCAAGCTCCTCCAAATGTGGGACCGTGCACTGGCGGAATGTACGCATTAACGCTGGCGTTCTGCCGTTAGGCACACGGAGAACGTTAATAGCCCAATGGTACATCCGTTTCGGCGTTATCGCTCAAGTTTCGAACTTTCGGACCTGATCATCCATATTGGTGCCGACAGGACTTGGACTACCTACATAGACAGCGACTAGGCAATACTGGGGCTATAACAGCACGAGATTGTGTGCCCATCAGACATGTTGAAATTTACGAAATAAATCCTCAACCCGACTTGTCCGGGTTCCCCGATAATAAGGCCGACAATACACCGTTAATGATCCCCTGAAAACAAGCCGGTATCGCCGCCACTGGTACAAATAATCAGTTGACCATCCATTCTTCGTGACTTCACACCGGTAAACATTCAATAGTCAGACTTTATATGTAATTTTCTCAACCTTAGATTAACGAATCGAAAAGTTTGGTTTTTCAAAATTTGAAAATGAAATTGGAACTGAAATTCTTGGGCGAAAAACTAAAGTGACTAGAATTTCACTAAATTTGTTTTCGCAATAAGTTATAACATTTTTTTTAACGTTACGTAGGAACTTCCGGAATTTCTTAAACATTTCCAAATTTTTTACACATTTCCAGCCTTTTTTAAAATTTAAAGTTTTGGACGTTTTGAAATATTTCAAATTTTCTGAGCATTCATTTAAGTATTCCTAACATTCGTACACTTTTCGTACATTTTTTGGCACATTTTTAACATTTTTCCAAAAATGTCGACACATTTTCTGAAACATATAATAACATGTTGATAATAAATGATAATTTTTTATTTACCGATCCCGATCCCTTGCGCTGAAACGTTCATCCAATTATATAATATGGGCAATGGGTTATCCATAACGGGGTTTCATTAGCTTGTGGCCACACCAGTTTTTCTCGTGGCAAGTGATAGACCATTTCCCAATGAAAACACACGTCTTATGGATAAAATCGACTTTGTTATTTATTGATCGATACCGATGCAACACTGCAACCCAATAAAGTTAAATGACCTTGGCTTTTGTGTTTGGCTGAGTTTACCCTCCGACTACACTTTATCCGCGGACTTTAATGGTAAGATTCCCTTGAACTATGAGCTTTTATTTTAGGGCAATCAATACTCAATACCATAACAATGTCGTGTTATTGACTTCCTTCCCTTTTTTTTCAGAATCTGGATGTATCATTTATCTCCATTATAAACCGTACTCGCCGAGAAAAGAGAAATCTTGCGAAAAAATGGTGATGCGACGTTCTTGCTTTACTTGCATTAGCATAGAATGCATTTACGCGCGTGAGAATGTTAATTAACCTTGATTTAATTGTATGGTAGATAGTAATTAATTAGAAGGAGGACGTTGAAGAGGACCAAATTAATAACAATGCCGCTCTACGGCCCACGCTAACTAAATGACGTGTAATTAATGTGCCATGCATTTTCACCTTCTTGTATTAGTGTCCATTACGCTATTACCCAGGCCCCTAGCCAGGGGGTGGCCAGACGGGCTCTTACCTGATCTAGAAACTACCCAACTCGTTGTCTACGTAATTTGTGAAACGGGAAGGGTCTTATACTATTATGTGCACTTAAAGGGTTGCCTGTGGATCTTGTAAACAAATTCAAACAAGAAAACATTTTTGTGTAGAAATGTTGATGTTGACAGGTAATTTGGGTAATAATCTCGTAGGTTTACTTTTTCTCAAGCCCCACCTCGAGAAATTCCTGCCGGCTTTAGCTACTTCATCCTGGGTACGGGCCTGCTATTATCTTCTTCGCCAAGCGTACGGTTTGAATGGTCAGCAACTCAACAGGTACCAATTTCCTTCCAAAAACGGTCGAACGGTCTCGACAGCCACCAACTATAAACGAGCGATTTTTGAATGTTGATGTCCAAATATTGCGGTACTAACAATGTACAATACTTCTTCATTATATCATTACTTTGGACATTTAGTTTCAAAACGAGGACAAACGCCTCCTTAAGGTTTATTTAATTTATGATAATCGATCTAGTAATCCATTCGTACCTTGTACGATCAATGCAAACAAAATATAGTGTTAGAGTTTGACGTCATGGTACGTATTGTTTTCGAATTGTACATTGCTCTCGCGATTTGTTCTGGCTTACTGGTAGAATTTGCCAACATTATCAGTAGATCGGTAGTGAATTCCAAAGTTGGAACCCAAATATGAGCGCGTACACAGTAAGATAATGTTAATACTTTGTTTACGCCTCAGACCTAATTAAAGTTGATAAAAAGTAAATTGGTTGGATAATTATATTAAAATTAAATATGAAGATTATGGCAGTGTACGCTGTTACCTCAGCAGAAGTACCTCTTTTCTCCACTTTGCGCCATCGCTTTAGATGTCTATTTGGTACCATACCAGGTGTTCCAAAAATTTTCGCTATTTCAAGACCACTTGCAGCTATCGAGCCCAAGGGCAAGCGACTATCTATCCTTACGTCACACGCCTCTTAGGAAAGTGATTGATAAAATCCACTATTCCTATAAAATTATCTGGACTTATTGATTTCAGTTCCATTTTGCGTTAAGTTGTGTCTGCAATGAATGTCACATTCAGTCGCCAAATTAGCGCTCATCAGGAGTTTGTCAATGAACTGAAGGTGCATGCCTGGTATAAACAAGTAAGTTTTACTCTTCTCTTGTAGAATTATCGATCAATTTGTAAAAGTGTCGCTAATTGTTATGATATTCTGTATCTGCACTGCCCAACTAGAATTGCTTTACGTGACTTGGCGACGAATGAATCACGCAATTCATTGCGGTCAAACCCTGCGAAACTCATATAAATTATCTTATCACTTATCGAACTCTTGAATTTTTTCTGTGGGTTGTCATTAACGTAACGCATCAACGGTGGTACATTTTCGGCCAACTTCATTAATGTACCATAATCGTTAATTACTCGTTCAACTGAATTTTCTTTCATGATTAACATTCATAGGCCATTATAACTTTTAATGCTATTTTCGAATTTTGATACGCATAGAAGAGCTCGGACTGCAGGCCAGAATGAATCGGTGTTTTCTAGCGTGAAAAAATAATTCAGAAATTATTAAAATAATCCGGAAATAAAAATTTATTGTTTTATTTCTTTGAAAGGCAGTTTAAGTACGTGTGTAACCATCCAAACAATTTTACGAAATTCGGGTTTCAGAGTGAATGCCCAAGAGATATTCGAGTGACGTGATTTTTTCCTCACCCTTAACCAATCTTCTTAATATTTTTTGCCTGTCGTGTGTTTATTCAACCGCGTACCCTCAACAGAAATCAGCGTCATACGACTTTGAAAACTTTTTTACGGCGCACCTCTGATAGATCCTAGAAATAAGAGTTCTTCTGATAAGTTTTGAAACTTTTTGGTCTCTTGTAATGTTTTCGTATCTGTGACGGTTATCGAGTAAAAAATAAATCAATTTGCAGTAGTTAGCTAAATGAAAGTATAGTTTTTAAAATGGTCCAGTAGGCCCTGGCTTTATACTCGGATATAGATTTTTTTTTCTATTTGTGCCAAGATTTATTTCAGATGTGAATCAAAAGATGTGTAATAAATTTTTGGGATTTTCGAAGTTGATGGAGGCATTCGGATTTCTCTGATGTGTACAAGGAGAGATTATTAGAAATTCTAAGTTTCCAGCTAACTGGACAGGTATCTTGTGATTGGTCTAGTAACCGCACACTATTGCATACAGCAATACATACGCCAATTTTGCTAATGGTTAAATTTATTAAATTAATATACAATTGAACGGCTACTAATTTACTTTGGAAAGCATGTTAATGTCACTATAGGAAATTTTCTTTTCCAGATTGACAAAAATAATGATGGCTTCATCGACTTAAAAGAACTGAAAGATGCTTTGGACGTTTGCGGTTTCAAAATTCCTGGCTGGAAGGTCAGACAAATGGAGGAAGATTTCAAGCAAAAAAAGGGCGCCATGGCGGACGGTAAATTATCATACGACGAATTCGAAAAATTATGCAACGATCTAAAAGCGAGCGAAGTGGCGAGTACCTTTAAACAGGTAGTTCAAAAGAAGGAAAACCTTCATCATTTAGGTGGAACTTCGGATGCGTCTAATGAAGGTACAATGCACTGTGTACGTGTAGAAGAGCAATTGGCGTTCTCAGATTGGATCAACTCGAACTTAAAACATGATCCAGATTTAAAGCACTTATTACCTATTGATCCCGATGGGAAAACCTTATATGACAAAGTCAAAGATGGAATTTTATTATGGTATGGTAAGGAGTTTTACTTGAAACGGCGTTTTAAAATTAGATTTTCAGTAAGGTGATTAATCACTCTTGTCCGGATACAATAGACGAACGAGCCATCAATAAAAAAAATTTAACGCTATATAGGAAGTTGGAAAACTTAACGCTTGCGCTTTCCTCTGCTCAATCAATAGGTTGTAACGTAGTTAACATTGATGCTCACAGTTTAGAGAAAGGAACTCCACATCTAGTATTAGGATTAGTTTGGCAAATCATTCGGATCGGTCTTTTCAATCAAATCTCATTGGAGCACTGTCCAGGACTTACGGCTCTTTTAACGGATGAGGAAAAGATTGAGGATTTATTAAAACTCTCGCCAGAAGCTATATTGTTGAGATGGGTCAATTATCATTTAGCTAAGGCGGGTACGCATAGACGCGTTAACAACTTCCAAAGTGATATCACCGATTCTGAGGTGTACACTTACCTGCTTAAACAAATTGCCCCAGGAGATTATGGAGTGACTATGGAAGCACTTATGGTAATAAGAATCTCACTGAGGTTCCCCTATTACCTACTTTTTTGTAGGAGAGAGATCTTCATAATCGGGCAGAAATTATGTTACAACAAGCGGCCAAATTAAAATGTCGTTCATTTGTAACGCCACAAGACGTCGTCAATGGAGTTTATAAACTTAACTTGGCCTTTGTAGCTAATCTTTTTAACAATCATCCATGTCTAGAGCAATCCAATGGAATTTTAGACGGTTTTGAAACACTAGAAGAAACAAGGGAAGAGAAAAGTAAGTCAATTACCTTTACCGGTGGAGAGCTCGCTACAATTCATATTTTACAGCTTACAGAAATTGGATAAATTCAATGGGCGTAAATCCGCACGTGCATTGGTTATATTCCGATCTTGCCGATGGTTTGGTCATATTTCAACTGTACGACATCATCAAACCTGGCATTGTCAATTGGCAGAAAGTTCATAGGAAATTCAGTAATCTTAGGAAGTTCATGGAAAAATTAGAGAATTGTAATTACGCGATCGAACTAGGAAGGGAAATCAAATTTTCGCTAGTGGGAATCGCCGGCCAGGATTTAAATGAGGGAAACATAACGCTAACGTTAGCTTTAATATGGCAGTTAATGCGAGCGTACACATTGTCAATTTTATCGCAACTTGCTCAGACTGGAAATCCTATTGTAGAGAAGGAGATAGTTCAGTGGGTTAATGCTAAATTAGAAAACGCGAGTAAAAAGTCTTCCATTAATAACTTTCAAGATTCTAGTATTAAGGACGCGACGGTCGTTATCGATTTAATCGACTCCATCAAACCGGGCGCGATAAATTATGATTTAGTGAGGACTGGTGGCAGTGATGAGGTAAATATACAGATTTTATTGTTTTTTATTCTTTAACTCTGTACAAACTTAACAAAAAAAGCTGTCCAAACATTAGACACACAAATTCGTTGCGTCTCAGTGCAAAGGGTGCTGTGGAATGTGTAAGTGATTCGTTTAATATACAAAGTGTCTCGAGATGAAGTTCACAACAACTATAGTCGATCATTTTTTTTATCTCTTGAGAAAGTTCAAATAGTGGCAGAAAAATTAAGTAAGCACAGTTACATACTCAACATTCCATGCACTTCTTATCAGTATAAAAGATTTAACAATCTGTGTGAAGCGTATTATACATTTGTCAATATGTGTAAAAATTTTGATGTTGACTAGCAAACAGCTTGGTTTGAACGTAGAACCGAGGAATTGAGAACACACTGTTTCTTTTTCCAGGTTTGTAATGTTTTCAACGACGCCCTCATGATGTGCTTTAAGTTTTTCTGTAGTGATGTTCACCTCCGGGTACCTGCCATGCAGTGCCCTTACCTTTTTACCCTCTATAGCCTGTTTATACATTGTGGGATGTAGAGCGATTGCCTCCTGTTGAACTGTATTCCCACTTGGGACTGTCGTCTCTCTGGATAAGTCTTGGCTGGGCAGTTTGGTGTTGTCGGACTCGGATCTTTTCTTCCCTTTGACCAAGTTACCGTGTTCCCTTGGCGGTTTGCTTGGCTACTTAAGCCAGTTCTACACTGTGTTGCCTCAGCCAACGTTACCGTTTCCTTGCAACACTGATCTTATGGAGCCTAACTTTCAGCTGGGTTTGGCCATAGCCTCACCCAGCATACTTGCAGCCTCATCTGGATTTTGTGACTCACTGACGCACTGGTTGAGGCAACTGCTACCTCTGACTCTAGCGAAACACTAATTAACTTATTTGCTTCCAATGACTGTTTACCAGGTTGTTCTCCTATATACGACCCGAGAACGCATCTGGTAGAGAGGTTCATCCCTCACACCCCCAAAAGTTAAATATAACATTAAATTAACATGAAATAATTCTTTACACTAATTGTGTAATGACCCTAAAGATTAATAAATTTAAAATTAACTTTCAGGATAATCTGGCTAATGCGAAGTATGCAATTTCGATGGCTCGCAAAGCGGGAGCTCGAGTATATGCCCTTCCGGAGGACATCACGGAAGTAAAACCGAAAATGGTGATGACCGTGTTTGCTTGTCTGATGGCACTAGATTACGTTCCCAATATGGACAGCATTTCAAGACAGTAGTATTTAGAATTATAAATATTGCAATCTACAGCTTAGTATAACAGCTTAATACATTCATTAGGATTCATTGTAAAAAAATTTACATAATCTGTGATTACTAGATTCAGGAACATTCCAAATCATTACTTATGGAATTCCATTTATGTATACTAGTCTGTGTACAAGTATTATTTTTCAAAATCTGGTTACATTCTATCTAACTTTTTTTGGGTGCAATAAGTTTAAGTAATTTTATTTTTTAAGAATTTTAGATACTTGATATTTACCAATAATTTTGTAAGGACATTTTTTGATTAATCGTAATCATTCCGTATTACTTAAAAAGTTTTTTTTTTATTACCATTGTTGTTTTATTGTATATAATATTCCTTAATGTTTTACATATAATTTATTGACTTCGGGAGAGCAACCTAAGTGCCATTTACCAATAATTATGAATATAAATTGTTGTGTACCACAAATTTGCATTTGATACATTTATAAGTCGATCCTTTTTTTCTTTGATGCTCCTTTGTACTGAAACTGAAACATATTGTATTATTTTTAAGCAATTGTGAAGTACATACGATAATTTTGTAGCATTTGTACGTCTGTGTAAATTTAACATTTGTACGTCTGTGTAAATTTAACATTTGTACGATTTGTACAGCCACTAAATGGTAATGAATTACAAATATTGATATAAATCAATGTGGTTTTTTCCTCTGCAACCAAAAAAAGCAAAATTGCACAAAAAAAATTACACAAAATATGAGTTCTTTATGAATCCCTTCGCCTGCTGCGATCGGTCCATTTGCATATCCCAGTATATGACAATATACACGTGACCATGTTCTCATTCTTGGCCTATATATAAATATAAAAGGGAGTAGAGCTAGGGGGTGGCCAGCCCCACCTAGAATGTGGTCTTGCCCCCACTGGAAATTAGGGTTGACCGGGAAGCCTTTATCAAAAATTTCTTAAGCCCCACCTAGAAAAATACCGGCCATTCCTGCTACTTCATTCTGGCTACGGGCCTGGGCTGAGACATTAACGCTCTTCCTAGTAGAAGTGTTTAGAGCACCTTAAGACTTGAGGAGGGTAGATGTGGTTTTTTGTTTGGACAGTTAGGCCTGACCTCCAAGCTGTCATCTCGCATGGAATGCCAAGCAAAACTGGAAGAAATAGCCAGGCGTAGTAGCGTTACGTTAGTGTGGGTTGCAATTAGCCATGAGGGGATAGCCAGTAACGAGGCTGACCGGAACCCTATTGATGGGGAGCACCATCGGCGAGTCTAGCTGGAGTAATTGAGATGTCAGCTCAGAAAAGAGTGGAAACGTCTATGGGAATGTGTCCCTCGACTAAGACAATCCAGGCAATTGATCAGTTTCCAGGAGACTAAAACCTTCTCAGCAGAAAGTGAACCAAGGTCACTGTAGACTGCCCTTTGAGATATCATCAGAGGTACCTGAGGATAACACATGTCCCCTCTGTTTCGAGGAGGAAGAGACAGCGGAACACATCATCTGCTGGTGTGAGGCTGTCTCCGGACAGAGACTACAAGACCTGGGTGAGTCTATAATAGCACCTCAGCAGATCAGGGAGTTGCAGCCAGACAAGTTCTTCAGATTTTTTAACAAACTGCCTCTCTCGGAGTAAGACGCTGGGATCACGCACAACAGATTCAACGGCCAAAGTGCTTAGGCGTGATATATAGTCCAGCCCTAAGTGATAGCGCCGGCCCTGGAACTAAATTGTCCAACGCTGCCAGCGATAGATAACCTCAAAAATTTGTATTGTATTTAACCTCAAAATTTGTGTACATTGGAATAGTTGAAATGGAAATTTCTAAAAAATTGATAAGTCAGTGTAATTATATTGGAAATCGGTGCTTCATTAAGGAGGTAATTTGTCAATGGTCTTTTCCTAAATTCACTTTGGGCTTCATTTATCATTATCGAAAAAATTCACATTGGCTACATTAGTAACAAAAGGCATAGTAGCTTTATTTGTTTTAGATCACATTAAAATGGAGTGTCCATTTAACAGAAGAAGATTTGCGAGAACAAATTTCCGATGCAATGTCCTTACTACAATTTATTGCGCTAGTTTGTGATGGTGAAGAACGTATATCGCATAATCTCTACACACAAGGTCACTGCCTGTTTGACGCTCTGTTATTTTTGTCTCGAAATGATGTTGATGAACTGATGTACACGCTGTTGCATATCTTACAAAATTTGGGCAGTAATCTAACGCTAAATCTGAAACTGTGCAATGTCTCGCTACGTATACGAAATGTGAAACCATTCCAAACACTTGTGATCATCGCAGTATCACATATTCTAAGGAGATTTTGTAAATTTAATTCACACCACACTGTAATGTTGCAGTTGATAAGGTCTGTGCTTGGTACACTGAATTCTCTGGCAACCTCTCCATTATGCGTATGTTGTTTGAATGTACTGCATACTCTAGTCAAGAAAGCCGGTGCACAGTTACATATTTGCCAGGCGGATATCATACAGCACATGTATCTTTTTATAAAAGCAGTACATCACAAGCAGGCGACAAAATGTGCCGATGAAGTATTGGGATTGGTTATCAAACAAATGAGTACCGATGACAAATTAATTCTATTCAAAAAGATTAGTCGAATGGCGTGGTGGAATAAAGGTGAATGCGCCATTGTTATTCACCTGATTAATTACTGGCCCACTAATGTGAAATTACGTCCGTTTATATGTGCGATGACCACACGTTTGGCTGTTATGCTGTTAGAGAACGTTACCGATCATTCCATAAAGTTATTACGGATTATAATAACTCACATTAGCCTTGACGTTTGGCAAGATGCATTTATTCCTAATATTGTCATCGTTGTAGAGTCCCACTGCGATAATGAATGGTAAGATCTTATCATAGAAAAAATTGGCTCTATGGTATCAATTTTGTTGTTTTGTTTGAAATATGAAATATTTAAGAAAATTGCAGAGAGCATAGTTATCTGTTTAGTTAATTAGATGTCAATGTACTAAGTGAATAAGTAATGAGAGAACCTTTCTAACTGCAACGTTCAGATTACAATGGGAGTTGTCACAAGGGAGGGTGTCAACATGTCATAGTTTGTCAAGGGCTGAACGTTCATTGGAGTCTGGTCTGTAGATCATTTGTAGTCTTTGCACTAATTTGAGGGCTGATTTAAGATTTGATGTTGTAAGTCATATTCAGGCTTCCAATACATCCAGTAACTCAGTGGGAGAGCAGAATAGGATTCAAATTTGGATTCTGATTCAGACTTAATTCAAACCAAATCCACCGTACAAGTGTCTTATACTGGCTGATGTCAAAATTCCAGTATAGTATAAAATTGAGACTCAGATGGGTCAAATTTTGACTCAGACGCAGGTTTAGTCCTATAATTGGGGATTAGAAATACACCCTAACTTGGGTCGGTCTCAGACTCAAACGACTACCTTTTTAGCGTTTATTTGAGTTGGGATGTCAAGCATTCGATCCAGCCTACGAGTCAGTATTAGACATATTCAGGTTCAGACTAGGATTCAAATGTGTATTTAGACAGAATCCACTGTTCAATCTTAACTATCTGGACTGAAGGCGAAATGCAGGTCCAGCTTCAATAAGAATGATTCAATGTCACTCTCTATTTCTTTAAATATTTCAGAAAGTGCATGCCTTAAAAATTGTACAGGGTGTTCCAAATTGCTTGTTTTCGATGTTTTTCGGGGATATTTTGAGAACTAAAAGAGATATAGTGATGCAGTTTGCATTTCCCGGAGTTACTTTTCAAAGCTGCTTAGATTGACGATGTCAATTTTGATTTATGATTTGCGCGAACTATTTTATTAGTATTATTATATGTAAATAGCATTGGTAATGTCATGAGTAGTGATCACTGTATGTTTGCTGACGACTTGACAATATTAGCATCTAAGAATAACATGTCAGACATGGTAATTGACATGAACAAAACCATGCGATCTGTTCAAAATCATTTAGATGATATTAAATTAATACTAAATAAATCCAAAACTTGCTTTATGCAGTTTTATACCAAGCAAAGCAAATACAGGGAAAGCGCCCTATTCAAAACAGGTGAAAAATCCATCGAACACGTCAGTGCATTTAAATTGTTGGGTTAATTGTTACATTGACATGTCTCTCAACTGGAAGGATCACATTGTCTACCTGTGCAAAAAAATTGCACCAAATTGTTTTGCACTTAAGAGACTATCTCACATAACAAATAAGAATGTATGCAAAACCTATTATTACGCGCATATTGCGTCATTATTAAGCTATGCCGTTATATTCTGGGGAAATTCTTCAAATGTGGGCAGAGTCTTTATTGTACAAAAACGAATCATACGTTTTATGTTTAATATTCCTTTCCGTGATACTTGTAGAACAACATTTGTAACAGAAAAAATTCTGACATTACCCTGTATATACATACTTGAAATACTAAAGTTTGTTCGGTTGAATACACACAAATTTTGTCATTTAAATCAAAACCACTCTTATCATACGAGAAAGGGCTTTGACCTAAAATACCCGAACCACAAATTGGCCCTTTTTGAATCGAATCCTTTTTACATGGGCATTACACTGTTCAATAAACTACAGCCCGCGGTAAGACAATTACCGTATCATAAATTTGTCAAGACGATAAAACAAATTCTAGTTCTCAAAGCCTACTATTCCCTGGAAGAGTTTATTAGCGATAATTTAGGTATTAAGTAAATTAAATTAAGTAATCATTATATATTATGTTTATCAATATCATAGTTACATTATATTATACTTATGATTTCTGACATGTCCTATATCTATTATAATGGATCACCTGGATTAATAAAAGCATTATTATTATTATAAAAGCCCAAAAATGCAATAAAAAGTTATTTGTGGGACCATAAAAAAGTAGATACAATAATAGTTACGTAAAAATAGCAATTTGGAACACCCCATACAGTCGTTTTATACTGCCTTTTTTTCTAAGCGTCTGATAAATTCATAATAATAAAAATAACTGCTACTGCTATATACAGGGCGTGTACAAGTAATTGACATTTATTTTCAGGGATATTATTTCGAAGACAATATCACAGTGCGTAAAAGTGGGAGTACTTCATTTTAAATCGCAAATGTACAATGGAATAAGGTCGAGTTTATTATTTAGCTGTTATTCTGCTATTGTTCTCTACCACTCTATTGAACAGGATTGTCTTAACATAAACGATTATCGAGAGGATATTGTAAAGTTACTGCATTCACCCAACGCTACAATGCAGTACTACGCTTTGAAGGCTGTATGTAATTTCAATCGCAAACGGTCGCAGTTAACCGATTGGCATGTAGACTGCATAAAGTACTATTTGCAAAGTGCCTTGTTTTCGAGCAACAATTTTTACGATAAGGAACTGCACTATTTTTTATCACACTTGGTCATGCAAGCTAATCAGGTCTTAATAAGTGAGCAAGTTGCCCAACACCATATCGAGTTTATGCAGTGGCTGTATGAGATGATTCGTCTGGCATTGTTGAGTAAAAGCTCAAGGCGGATTAAAGTAGGCACGCAAATTTTAACTTTAGTTCAAAGTACTGTTGTACGAAATGACCAAAGAATCAAGTACAAAATTGAGGATTCCATTAATCCGAACCTGTTCTTCGCCCATCTGAGGGAAACAAATCAGTGGCCGTGTATGAGTGATGGGTTTTATATGGAAATTTTAGAAAGCTGGCTAGTATCTAAGAAGGTGTACCCAGAGTTGTACACTCTGATAGAAAGTCAGTCAAATGTATATATTAAGACGTGCACAACTATTAACCAATCATTCGAAAATAAACTGGATAAGGAATCGATAATGAAAGCAAATTTCTGCATTTTAAATTTGATTAAATCGTGTCCTAGTAAGAAAGAGTCATTAGTTACTAATATAGTTACCAGGTGGCATAGTATTGCATTGAGCTCATCCGATAGACAAATTGATGTCCATGGAGTTGCTTTGGTTTACGGTCTTACTCTGTGCGTTTCTTTGCTGTTACAAAGGAATTTGTTGATTGGAGATTATCCTTTGATATTCGACACATGTTTGCAGATCGGAAGAAATTTGCTTGGAAAAGATTCTACAGATAATGTTCTTGTACTTAAGAATGTCGAGCAAACTCTTGTTGTAAGTGTTGCATAACAATTGACACTATTACAATACTGCTGTAGGCTATGATGGATGTGCTGTGCTTCATTTTGAAAACTGTACGCGACGACGCAATCGTTCGACGATTTTTTGAATTTTTAGGTGAAATAATGGAGCAGGGAAGCGGAAAAAGCGTAACCTGCGCTGTCGCAGGTGCACTGCACACTATCTGCCGTAACATATTTGAAACTTCTGTGGACTTACAAGCTCCTGCCATTCAGTATTTGGATTTTGTTCTGAACTCTATGTATCGGACATCTGAGGTGAAGATATCTAAACTTCGTAAAAATCCGGAACATCGTTTGATAATTCATTCTGTCGTCTCTGCGGAAAAATACCCCACTCATGTAAGCAGATTACTCGCTGATTCAACAAAAATCACTTCGCCAAGGAATATTAATTAATTTATGAAATATAATTAAAAAAATTAATTGATTCTCGTCAAGAAGACTCTTTGAGCGACATGATTTCTGTAGAAATATTTTATGCTTCATAGAATGCGTAATTATTATAAGTTCATTGTAGCCTAATTTACATCATTCAATGGACTTCATGTTAGACGTCGTTTCGAGTCCCTACCCAAAGCATAACATGAAAGAATCTGCGCTACACACTTTCGAAATATTGATTTCCGATAGTAACCTTGTCACCCAGACATCTCCATATATTACTAGAATAGCTATTCATGCTATTGAAGGGTTTTCCAGCAGTTTTTGGAATGTGAAGTAAGTATCACAAAATGTACTTTTACACCTGTTGCGATCATGGACTATGAAATGTCCAAATTTGGTTCTATCTCGGGTTCTATTAAGCGGGCCCCTCTCATGAATTTTTCTTGAGGCAAAATGAATCGTCTGAACGAGGAATATCTATTGATGAGGTGTAAACAAATATCTCAAAAATGAAGTGTCGGTAGACGGTACTCATAAAAGGTAAGTGGGACATCTGAACTAGACACATCTACTGTAGTTACTGTCCTCTATCGTCACACATGCTTCTGGCATACTAAATTCCAGCTGTCCAAGAGACTCAGAACGCAAGGTATCGTGTGTATTCCCAGGATGTTCCAAATGTTGTCCCTCTAGTGGCTATTCCCAAAAAAAGTTGATTTATGATTAATTGCTCATCAGATGAATACTCCCCCAAATATTCAAAATTATTAATTACCTTACTCCAAACTCTTATAGCATAAATTGGACATTTTTAAATATACAGAATATTCCTAAATATGTGTAAATACGGAGGGGGCCGATTCTTTGACTTATTTTATGATGAAATTTCCTATAAACATAGGGCACTTCAGACGACCTGAAACAAAATAATGGCCTACGGCTCCTGCGCCAATTTCCTTAGCGGGAAAGCAGTAAAAAACAAATTAATTATTGGGGGTTATCGAAGAGTAAATGCAGGAAAGCGGAAAAATATTCTCCTCCTCCCTCTTATAATTAATTAAACAGAAAGTAGCAAAACTCAGCTCATAATTAAGTCAGAGCGGTAAACGGTTAAAACAAAGCGCCCACTTAAAACGCTTCTAGATACCGGGTGTTCATCTACAGAGTGATTCCTAAAACTGGTAATTTGCAGGAGGAAAACGGATGCTACATTTTCTTCTTTAATATTCTCTGTTTTTTTAAAATCTTTTTAGTATGTACCTACATACATACAGTGTGTAAATTTGAACTCTAAACATACAAATCTCGTGCATATAAAACTCATATGTACAATTCTAAAATATTCATGTCAAATCCCCCTTAAGATATGCAACCGATCTTACCTACTTTTTTCAATTATTACCTATTAATAAAATATATACAAAAAAAGAAAAATGGAAATGTTACAGATGTATTTCAATAGATAATTTGCGGCCAAAATATCCTGATAAGCCACTTCCGCCAATTTGCACAATTCACAACATCATAAAAATACGTTCTTATATGAGATACAGAGGCATGGAGACGAATATTTACAGCTTGCAATGAAATAAATCGATTTTTGCCTTTTGCAACAAAGAATGCCCAAAATTTCACGAATGTGTCTGTGCAGAAAGGATCCTGTTGAAATTTTGTACCTGGGGCGTTTTAAATGCGAAAATAACGGATTTAAAATGTTTTTGAAAATTGAAGAAGAAAAGCGATAATATGCTAAAATTGATTCTCTTTTTAGGAATGCATCAATTCAAGTTCTTCAAGCGCTTATGAACAGACTGCTTGGACAAAAGAACAGCTTAACCAATCGTCGTCGCTATGGCATTGATGACCTCGTTCTTTTGTATCCTGATCTAATATTATACTTCATCACACAACTATATGGAAGCATTGATGTAGCTAACTGTGATAGCATTATTGCCATTTTAGGTTTATTATCTGAATCTTACTACTCCTCATTTCATGCATATTTAGACAAAAATGTAGCTTTTATACATAAAAGCTTACAGACAGCCTTCATATATTTAATTCGCACTAGTGAAACTGTAGGGTATTTTGCGGCTAACGCTTATGCCGCTTTGTATCCCTCTACTTTTGTACCTGATATTATCTGTGATATTTCTACGTGGTTGAAACTGAACTTCACTTTTATCAATCAGAATGTGTTCGCCTCGGTTATGTCATTGCTCGCTACGTTCCGTAAAACATTTCACACATTTCATTACGATGAGACTGCTTTAAGACATAAGATAGATAGTACCTTTAGGGACTTGGAACTGTTTTTAAAACAATTTAACAAGTATGAAATGTCGTTGTATAATTTTTTAGGAATTCAGCTCAATTCTTACAGAGAATTACAAGAAAAGACAATCGTAATGCTTTCAAATGGTCATAATTTTGCAAACCGAATTTGGTTAAATAATAATTTAATTCGAGTTCTAAATAATATCGATATTGCAGACTATCCCAGTTTTCTAGAACGTATATTGGGTTTGTCTGTCAATTTGATGACTGTAAAGCAGTGTGTGAATAGCATTATAACTCGCTACAGCGAATTGGTGGATAGTTCTCTTACAAGTACAGTACTCAAAGTAATGTTGCTTAGCTTAATGGGTTTAACGCACCCTAATGATTTCGTATTAATTACATATACTAGGATCATTTTGTCATTGCTGGCTTCGGAGTATTGTTACTCATGTTCTGAGAATTTCATTGTGAAGCTGCGAAGTTACTGTGTAACAGGGGATAGAAACTTGTATAAATTATCAGTTTATATCGCTATGCTAGCCCATTGCTCCAGCTATGTTGAGGATAGTACACTGTTGCACGAAATCGCCTTGCTTTATAAACATTCTACCCTTTGCTGTGATATTGAGCTCCAAATGTTTCTTTCTTCAACATTGATGTATCTCTACAATTGTGTAGGCCTCACTCTTAGACCTTTAGTTTACGAAATTGCCTTCATTCTGCTATTTGTACCTGAATGCTCGTTGGAAGTTAGCAGATTCCTCTCATTTGTATTTGAGACGCCATATTGCGAATTACTTACTGTACTTGTAAGTTTTTTATCTGCTCATAATTTAAGTAAGAGTTTGGAATCTCCAGAAAGGACACTTGCTTTTCTAAATAACTTGAAACGGTTTGTTTTGCTACTCGGTGACGAATTTGAAGATTGTGGTATGTTTTATATGAGGCAAAACGAAGAAATCTGTTCGCACAAGCTTAGTATATTAAAACTGTTAGATGAGCAGATCGATATTGCGTCAGATCTTTTAGCTGAAGTGTAGGTGAAACCTGCATGGATAACAAGTGCACAGAATAGGAAGCGCGTAGTTCCAAATCAGATTGCCTGCTGTGTCGTTAATCTCATGGGTGTGTAGGGCCACACTATATTTGTGCCAAGTGAGTCAAATGGTGATGAAAACGTACTTTTAGGCTTAGTGGTAATGTAAGTACGTTAGGTACAGCTGTCTCTTTTGTGTCAGTAATTCAATTCAAAGATTCTTCCCATAGTTGGATCTTCGTAGTCCACTATTCACAACACCGGTAACTTGAAACTGAATGCGCTCTGTTACAGTCTGCGAATCACGAACTGTTTATAGATTATTTGTTTGGTAAGAAAAATGTCATTATGATGTGAAAGTAAAATTTATACTTTGTTTCCTATCTTTTTTTATGTGTTCCAGTACCTCTTGAAAAATATTGCCTTCTTCCAATAAACCCAAAATTGTTTTTTATTCTAAAGTGAGGTGAGATCCCTCTATGTTGATACTGCAGCCTTATTGTGAATAACTGTCACTTCAGGCCCAATTTTAAGGATTAAGGATAATATCATGTTTATCTATGTAAGACCACTAGATGATTTGGGAAGATTACATAAACCCATTTGATGGAATATTCAACACATCCTTGAATTAATAAATGCTTTCGTACCGTGCATGTTGCAATTAAAGCCGTTTGCGGTTCCCCATGGGAGGCGCCTATTAATGCCGGAATAGATTTAGCTGTGTATGGCAAGGAAGAAACTCATCCATCTCTTATCCCCAGGAATTTAACATAATTGTCAATTCTTATCATGGTTATATGTTCTATATCTAAGAAACAATACCTAAAGGCCACAAATATATATGAGAAGTATAATAAAACAAAGAGATAGCGCGAAAGGCCACAGTAGCAAAGATCATACTAGACTATGGTAGTTGTCAGTAGTTAACGCGCCATAATTTCTAAAAAAAATAAAAGACAAAATACTGACTGAATATTATGTAACATTAACAAATTAGATTTGTGTTTAATCAGCAAGATCCCCACGAACATTGCATGCATTAGGTAATATTCGAGGTCTAAACCTCCAAAACAACCCATAACATTTAATTAGTCAGTTAAAAAAAAATTATGAGTGAATTTTTAGGTGGTCCTTCAAACCCATATCATGTAACATTTCTTCTTCTGAAGTCAGTTTTGAACCAACTCTCTTCGCCGTAACTGACCCCATTACACAAAGCTGGCCATCAGTAACATACAGGCAGGGGTTGAATCTTCTCACTTTACCTACGTTTCTGAGGGCTGGGTGTGACGTCTAAGGAGTTTGGGTAGCTCTTAAGTAAGGTGATACTCAGGAATCGAAATTACAGTGGGAGGCGGTGTTAAGAATATACAAAACAATACTCAAACTCAGTAGTAAGTATAGACAATATGGTAATTTTGATGTTGAATATTTTTTCCGCTGAATGGTGTCCAGTCTATGCATACGTGGACTGTACTGGGTAAGACGTGGAAATAGCAGTGACGATTTTGTACCTTTTGAACTTCTATTTTAAATGGGAACATTGTTTTATAAAGTTAAGTTATGCAAATCGATACTGTAAAGAACAGATTATTGTCCGCTTTATTCATGGAGTTTATAAAAATTTCCATATAGAAAGAAAGGTGCTTGTATTACAAACCTTTAAATCGTACATTCGGCTGTATAAAAGTGCGTGACGTCATTATTCAATGGCCGTTTTTTATTTCTAGAAGTGTAATGGAAAATCAAAATTTTGCATTTATGACACGAAGAGGCTCCCAAGATATTATCTACGAACAAAATTTAATTTGTCAAGTAAGTCAGTTGCATCCTATTTTCGAATAGTACCTACCAGAAATAATTTAGTCATTTAAATAAGTGTTGGCACGTGGTATAAACAAACTTTATGGAAATAGTTTTTTATTATCAAGATGACTATAAAAATCATCAGTGCTTTATGGTTCCTACAATGCAATCTAGTTACCTGCAGAGAAGTAGGTACAGGGTATATAAATTAAATCTACCTACATTTAAATTAGTTAAATGATTTACAGTGCTGCATTTTTGGTTTCTAAGTTTAAAGAATATTTTCAGGGACTATCTAAATGGAGATCTAAATAGAATACAATTGATTTTCGGATGATTCCGTATGCTGGAATAGAACTATTCACTACTATAATCAAAGACTATGCACCACCTTAAATAAAGCTTATCCACAAAATGGCAAAAAATTATTTTATTTTAAATAATGTCATTGATACACCTAGCGTGACATTAGCAGGTTAATGGGTTCAGAAAAGTTTATTTTTGAATTTAGGCAACGTTTGCCAATTCTTTGTTGGGTCTAATGTATGTAGGTATCCCACTCTTTTTTATACTGCTTCCATTGTAATCTGTCATATATTTAATTAAAGTATGTCAAGGGTAGTGTGGTACGACAATCGCAACATTATTAAAATGGAAATGTGGGAAATTAATTCATAAATTTAATGGTTTTAGTAATAATAATAATCATTTATTTGGACACGCTACAATAAATATATAAACAAAATTAAAATTATGCATAGGACATGGCACTTAACCCGTTTAGTTGCAAGTGAAATTAATGAAAAATTTTGAGAGTACATAACAAGGAGAAAAAAAACACAAAAAATAGAGCAAAATAAATGAAGGATGAAGTATGGGTACAATAGTAAAAATTTTTTTCTTGAAATTCTTACAGTAGGTAATCCATCAGGCAATGAGCCCTTTCTCATCTTAACAATGGGTGGGCTGGGAAGGGGGTGGATATTCCAAGGACTGGGTTTTGACATCAGTTTCCGCCACCTAGCTCTTACTGCGGATGTATATTATGGAGAGAATTTTACGGTGACGAATATGGGGTGTTTCTTGGATGAATATACCGGGCCAGGGAGAGAATATTCGCCAAGGGCGACTCGTCACCGGACCACTCGCCACCGACTGACCCGCCAACGCGACAACTCGCCAATGCGACAACTCGCCAACGGACGACTCGCCACTGCGACAAATCGCCAACGAAATATTTTTCCCTGTTTAATGTGTCGTTCAAATAACGATGTGATTGTCAAATTTTCTATTCAAATAATAATTTGCAGAAGATGTCGTTATATCAAAATGCAGTAATAGAAACAGGTATAGGCGGTTGGGTCTTCATTCAAATATTGACTACAATTTTTCGATAAACTTTGTTTACAAAATTAGGGAAATTGACTATTGCATTTGTGGGATGCATTTGTATGACACATTAAACTGGGAAAAATATTTGGTTGGCGAGTTGTCGCAGTGGCTAGTCTACCGTTGGCGAGTTGTCGCATTGGCGAGTTGTCGCTGTGGCGAGTTGTCCCGTTGGCTAGTCGGTCGGTGGCGAGTTGACCGTGTCCCTTTTATCCTTGTGATCTTTGTATCGTTAAGGAATGTCGAGCTCAGAATTACAGTTGCGCCGTTTTTTACAACCTGTATATTTACTAGTCTAACTGCCAATTAGACCAGAAAGATTATTTTCAAAATTTGGTTTTATAAAAAATAAATTAAGGTCACTTTTGCCGGAAAAAAATTACATTCGAAAAGGTTCTGCTTTGCCATTTTTTTTTTAAATAGTTTGATGTAACAGTTAGACCCTTGACCATTGTCTACTTATTACTGAAAATAGAATTGGAAAATTCCAATTCCAAAATAATTAACTCGCTTTTTGTCATTCGTTAATTACCCAACGGTAAAAAGTGTCGTTTGAAACCAAAACGTCGATGAAAGCCTATCTAGTTATTTGATCTCAATTTTAAGGTAGTGCTTGGAAATTTATCACATGAAACCTTGCCACGGCTTTGCCATAAAACTATGGCGCCGAATTCCTCGCGTGCTGAGAATCAATGGTTGTGCATGTCTGTCCGTCGCGTCTATGTAGACGGATGACTTTTTTTTTTCAAATAGCCTGGCAATAAAAGTAATAATGTGCACCACGCATTTTGACCTCGATTTGTAAATGGCGTGGCGATGACGCATGGCCAATTACTTATATCGTGGAGAGGCTGATTTGATTTACATTGAATAGGTATGGACGTTGCCTTTAAGCGCCCTTTTTAACTACGCTACTTGCGGCCACCTACCTCAAGTCGCACTTAGTATTAATTTATTCTTATCTATTTAGTGAAAGATAAGAGATCGTTGACAACAGTCAAGCTTTTGTTGCAGGCAAATGTAAATAAAATAATGGCCTTTAGTCATATGTCAAAAATAATTATGAAGGAATACCCAAAAATTTGAATTTGTGTCGCTTCAAGTCGTGAAAGTTCGTTCCTCAATGTGGTTTTGAATAACTATTTTGAAAATCGTTCGACAAAAAAATAATTCTAAGAAATTTTCCCAAAGGGTTTTACAGTCGCAATAAAACGACACTGAAAATATTAATGCTTTTGCTTTTGTTTAAAAATAATCTCTTTGTTTATCTGTTATTTCTACGCTCCCGCCTCGTTACGTTCGTAAGTGTCAAACATCCCCACTCTTGTGAAACACACGGTTGCTACACACACGAATTTACAATTTTGAATAATAGATAGTGACTAACAGCAGGTGAAACTGTTATGCTAATTGAAAGGAATTGTCGAATTAACTTGATTTCCTTTGGCGAAAATTGGGAACATTTTGGAATAAGTGAACTTTGCGAGTCGTTCGGTACATAACCAAAAAGTGAAGTGTCATTGTAGGTATACAGGATTTTGTTTACAGTGTGTTCCTTAATTGTCATGCTATTAATTATGCATAGTATTCAAACCGTTAGAAAAAAACTTAATTTTCTACTCGGCTACGTATATTAATTAACGTGGTGCAATGGAAAAACAACGAGTTTTAAGGATTTATTGGAATATACACTGACACGGAACTAGAAGACTGAAAATGATTGCCTTAAAAAAGGTTTATCGCAGTGACTTGTTACAGTTCGCCTTACTCCTAAGTTTGCTAAGGGTAAACCCGGACAGCTACTTAGAAGGTGATCTGTTTAATAACATTAGTGACTTGGACTTTGACAACGGCACCAGTTGGAGATTATTTACCACAGGCCCATTAAGAACTCATTACATTCATCCTAAGAACCTAGATTCCGCTCTTGTCCACTACGAACGTGAATTATTTGAGGATCTAAACTCCCTCGGACAATATAACCCTCTAAATACAGTCTACAGGCATCAGAATGTCACCGCTTACTTATTAAGTGTTAATCGTTCGACTGCACTAAATGTGGATGCCGTGTCAAACACCAATGATCAGCATACGTTGGAGCCGAATTTGTCGCAAGCATCTGCAGAACTGAGTCCTCTTGTTGGCGAAGAGGGACCATCCACAACACTCTTTGATGATATCGGTCTTACTCAGGAGGTGAGTGTCAACCTGTTGCTTGTACTGTGCTGATATTTGAATTTGTCAGGCTAGATGTCTATAAGTATCTGAAAATAGTTCCTCTATTTATAAATGAAAGCACATTGCCTCCGCTAATTTAAAATATGCTTTGTGCATTGTGCAACATGTGGCAATTTAAACTAGTTCACACACCTGAGAAAACAATTGGAAAATAGGAGTACATACTTGATTTGATGGTGACCAATCTACACTAATTATTTTGGTACTTACCTACTGTACCATGGGGCAAGACTAACTCTTTTTAGGTATTTGTCTTGGTATTTGTACTATCTTACCATCCGAAATGTGGTGCAATCATAATAAAATACACAGCAGATCGAGCTAAAAGTTCTCTGCATTCATTAATGTATGCTTGTTCTCTCTCAGAATATCAAATCAATGATTCAAATCTTGTTGGCTATGCAAGCAAACCAATGTAAATATGTCAGTGCAGGAAAAATTTATCTTGCTTTCTTCTATGGTACGCTGCTAGTGCTAAAACGGCGTCAATTTCGTTGGGAAAACGGCAAAACATATTGTTTTGAGCAGAGGGAAGATTTTAAACACCATCCACCTTTCTTATGATTGCGGACAAAACCGTACGGGCTGTCCTAATTTCTATATACCCTTAAGAAAAACTTTTATCCGTAGAAATATTGAGAAACTGCAGTACTACGGATCCTTGGCGCAAATCTGGGTTCTGACAAAGATATTTTTAATGTATAGTGGGTTGGGCTAGTAGACCGACCTTGAGCGAAGCCCCGCCCACTTAAAAATAAAGACAAAATAAAAGTAGACTCTTGTGTATTAAGTTCTCGATTAGGTTTTAACGGGTTTTAACATCACCGGTAGATGTGTTTCGTCCAGGCGTTTCACTTGCCCTGTATCAGTACCCTCTTTGCCTCGCTTTTTGCTTTTCAAATATTCGTTTCGACCTCGCCAATAGAGATGGCTCGTCCAGACGATTTATTTTTCTTTTGTGAGTACTCTCCCCCGACACTCTGTTCTTGAGATATGAGGAATTATACCCGATCACTGCCAGAGGTCGTTAATTAAAATACTATGAAAGATAAAATTCTAATCTGGAAAATGAGGCGCGGACGTATAGTTTGTAGAAACCAAATCTTTTCGATGAGATCTTTCATTAGAATACCGTGAAGGCTAGAATGTGTATCCCCCCCTCTTTTTGAAATTTTGGTTTCGTTATGTTATTCCAAATTTTGTTGAGTAGGGATTTTTTTCACACTTCCGCTTAGAGAGCCATTTAGCTCGCCATTTATTTTTCGTAAGATTGATCCTGTGACTCGTCCTGTGACGTATTTGCTGAACGTAAATTTTTCATGGAGTAAATTTTTGACAACAAAGTGCTCTGGAAGGGGAGAATTTTTCTGTGGCGAATCGTCCGGAGGCGGCAAATTTTAATTTTTATTGATATACACGGTATCCATTTTTCGAGTGCCACTGTGTGCATCTCACTTACCTTTAGTTTTTTTCTCGGTTTTTCTTATGGGCGCCGTTTTGAATTTCGACATTTTGTCTTTTTTTCTCTGTACAAAGATATATCACACATGGTGGTTCAGTATCACACGAGGTATCACATTTTTCCTAAAAATACAATTTTTCATTTTTTGCACCCTGATTTGGAAAAACAAAACGTTCTTTTATTGTTAAATATAATATTTTTAAATCTATTTTGTTTTTTTTATTCGATAGAAAAGGGAATTTAATATAGGTACTATCTATTGAGGTTAGGTCCGATAGCTTTTTTACCTGACTCTGTATACTTATTTGAAAACCGCAGATTATTTAATAAACATTACAAAGACATTTGGAAATTTGGTAACAAAATGCTCCTATGCATTTTTCATGTAGAATAAAAAGATTTTATTGTTGTGATTTTTAATACTTACAGAAATTTCAAGCATCTGCTGAATTATGAAATTAGAGTTATTCGTAGAGGTTAGATGGCGCTGTAAGATTTCGTTTTTCCAAAAAATTATATGCAAGTGAGTTAGATATGAGTGAAATAATTTTTAGCGCCAGTATCGATGGAAGGAAAACCGGAAAATATTTACCTATAGAGGTTTTTTTCGTTCAATATTTTTATCTTAAGGTTTCGATGATTTTTATCTCTATGGATGCACTTTGATCGGAACCATTTCAGATTAGGAAGAAAATAATAAAATAGAAAAACCACCCGGATGCTTTTTCGGTTTATCGGTTGCTGATTGCGTAAATTAGAGGAAACCATAACGCGGATGTTGGGGAGTGCATTATTAAAAACAGCGTTTCGGATCTTGAAAGAAATGGGATTCTGACCCACCGCAAGATATGACACATAAAAACAACCTATGAACTATTTTTAATTTAAAAACAGATAAGCATGGATTTAGTAATCCTACGTTATGACTTTATAAATTTTATCTTATTTCCAGCGGTAGGACATTTAATAATACTTGTACCTAATACATTTCAATCCCGAAATATCTTGGCATTCATGTTTCTGCATCTGTGGGGTGCCACAGGGATCTATTTGAGGTCTTCGTTGTTTTGTAATGTCCAAGTAATTGTATCCAGCTCCTTATTCCTTGGCGGGGGATTTTAAATTGTTTCTTTTGTGGAAAAGTCTCTGGAAAAGTAGCTTGACTGAATTTCGCCTCAAGAAATATGTGTATTGTATACGAATAAAGGACTTATTATTATTTTGAATAAGATATTATTATATCCTCGACGTTTGCTTTTTATTGAAATTGTTATGCTGTTTGTTGTTACAGTATATTTCGTCGGCAGGGGTTTCGAGTTGATTTAAAAATCTATCAACGCATCTTAATTAGGTTTGTATATGGCGTAATTAGATGCACGTTAGGTGCGTAAAAATCCGTTCTAGTTTTGGGACGATTTTCAGTTTTCTCTATTGCGATATTGTTTCAATTTTTCAAAATGTAATTTCGTAAATTTCGTTTATATCATAATTTTTTTCTATCCTCGTTTTTGACGGCCACTTAATTGCCACTGCTGAGGGATTGCAAACCAATTTATTTCTATGGCTTCTCAAATTCTCTATAGGCATGCACATGCCAGTCTGTCTGTCATTTCGGCGTATATAGACACATTTTATGTTACACAAATTTAATATTAATTGTTTTACAATTTTGACTAACATAGCTACATCTTTATTTATGGAGCCATAGAACATATATAAAAACAGTTGTATGTTTGTACGGGCACACCAATTTTCTTTTTTTTTAATTTTTGAAAACTCAAGTTGATTTTTGTTAAAAAATCTCTTCATCTACAACCAACAGACCTTAGGAATGTGTCTCGGAATGTGTATTGTAAGATTTCTCATACTTTTTGCATTTTTTATTGCTAGATTAGACATTTATAGGACATAATTTCTTTAAGATAATCCGAGTTGTAAATACGGCGATTGCGAAACAAAATGACCTAAATTATAGGTAAGTAAGTGTCAATTTCTACAACTGAAAGTTACGATGCATTTAATTTAACCATTAAACGTTATAGTTGATAGAGGTTATGTTTAAGGTAATTACTAAATACAGTAATTGATTATAGATAATTAGGCTTATAAAACGTATGCAGTTATGGCAAAGTCCAAATACGAAAGCTAATTCAAGGATCAGTCATAAAGCCTTAAACGCGTGTATATTTATACGTTTGAACTTGTTTTGAAAGTATTTGGATTTCTAGGTTCAGCGAATAAAATTTGGCGGTGATCCAGCTTTGTCTTTTATTGCTCTTTGTGTCAATAACACAGAAACCGTCTATTGTTTTAATTATAAATAATCATACTTTTTATGAACTTACGTATATATTACATCTTTGGAAGGACGACAGGTTGATCGTGTGAATTTTTGCATTTTTTTACGTTGATTGTCGACGTACGGACGTTGTTGTACTTTGTGTGGTTGGCCTAGGGGAACTAACCTTGCGGAAGTTTGTAGGAAATGAAAACCTGGCTTCTTCTTTTGTTTATGTGAATAACAAACATTACATCTTTCCCTACAACTATTATAATTGGTCGTATATATGTACTGACCCACCCTCAAAACGATTAGCCCTAACGATTCTTTCTAAACATTTTAGGGAAGAATGTAGAACTGGGAGTACTTCATAGTCCATACCCCCAAGCCCTCCGGTGGTAGGTACGTTTACCCCGTTTAGCAACGATTGACAGTAAAACTCGAGGTAAAACTGGATGATTTGTTTAGAATTTGTGTGTGTGTGTGTGTGTATTATACACGATACCATTGTTTAAATGACGATACACTGACGTGCAGACTATATTTTTAAAGTTGAGAACAAACCTGGCAATCCCAAAGACAAATCATCAATCGACGCCCTTCCATGTACATTGTTTAAAACTGCCACGAGTTGCTGGTATTATTTTTTCCAATTTAACATTGCAGTACTTTTACCAACCAAAAAATCTCTTGCAAATTGTACCTAAGTAAACTTTCAGAGGCGTTGCTGACATTTTTGGTGGTGCTTTACTAGAAGTGCTGAAAAGTAGAATTGGAAATTATATCGACAAGCTGCTGTAGCTCTGAGAAAATTGTGTGGAAAAGCGTGCGTTGGATGATTTGTTGTTTGGGACACCAGGATTTTCCTGACGTATCGCCCCTTCATAACCTAAACCAAGGCGTCGGAAGTCGTTTAATCAATGGTATTGAAATAAACAATTTTTTGTGATAAACGTAATTCTAATTACACCGGAACACAAATTGATGGAATACCAATTTCAAGCAAATCTGTTTTTTTTTCGCCCCGTATCAGAAGCAGAAGTAATGAACATTATCAATGGAATGAACATCTCACTCATCTCGGTCTGATAACATTCCTGCGATAATCGTTAAGAAATGTGCATCGTTGATTGCAAAATCTCTAGTTTATTTGTTTAATAAATTAATGTATGAACAATCATTTCTCCCACATACTTAAAATAGTCAAGATTAAAG